CCTGCTCGGGCTGAGATCTCCAAGCCTTCTCCACCCAGACCCCCCATCTTCCAGTAGGTAGGCATCACACCCACCAGCTGCTGTCAGCGCCAGGTTGGTCCCATCAATGGCCAAGACACAGAGGCTATAAAACCCAGCTCCTGGAAGCGCACGGCCGCAAATGCGGCCACGCGACATCTTATTATTTCATTTTTCCTTTGGAGAACCTGACAGGCTACCAAAAGTATCCTGCCTGCACGGCAGAATCTGGCAAACTTCCCATGTCGTACTCAATATGCCAAATACCAGTGACAATGATGGGTCTCATTCTCCTAACCCTGAAAGAGCATTGAAATGGTTCTTCTAAAATCTCAGGGCTAGGAAGAAGGAGATGTTACTGGTGCCTGCTCGAGGCAATCGACGAAAAACAGGATGATCGTGATCGTTAGCGTCAGGGAAATGTAGGCAACTTTGAAAGAAAACCCAGACATCATAATATTGTAATAGACCAGGGGCCGGAGCAGTAGTAGAGCGGAGAGGGCGCTTGCCTTGCATAGACCTGGCGCAGGTTTGATCCCAGCGCCCCATGTGGACCCCACCAGGACTTATCTCTGTGCACCAAGGGCTGTGACCCAAGATAGATAAATTGTAATACTTCATACTCGCCTCTTCAAGTGACTTTTGGTTTGCAGTGTAAATGTGGTGCGCTCGGGGTTTTCGTTTCGGTCCTTTAAAGTTGACTCTTGGCATATTGTACTCAGCAGTCTGCGCGTCTTGTAGCAGTGTTGATCGTGGTTCGTCACTGCTAGTTCACACACCGCCTTTGCTTCTGAGAGAGAAGGCAGTTACTTCGCCTTGTGCATCTGTTCTGTCCCGCCGCCCCCCCGGGGCCCAAGAGCACTGAGAGGCTGTTTCTGCTGCTCCCGAGGCCAGTGTGGGGTCTCCGCGAAGGATGCTAGGACATGCATTCATTCGTCTTGAAGATGATTGCTTCAATGTTCCAATTTCCAGCCCGGAAGGAAGTGGTGGTCGAAGCTGACTCTGTGCGCTTGGCGCCACCCTTGGCAGTGCTTGGGGGCTCGGCGGTCTTTCCCAGGGTACTGGTGACCAGAGTGGGGTCGGTGGCATGCAGGGCCAGCGCCCTGGCCCAGAACTGTCCCTCCAGCCCTGGCGTAGGAGATGGAGGCCACTGTGGGTGGGAGGGAGGCGCGGTGTGTGCCGGGAAGAGCCGCCTCGGGACCAGCCCTGTGTCCACCCAGCAGGGCCGTGACCCTTCCTGTCCAGCTGGCGCAGGCCTTGGCGGGTAAGGGGTCCTCGGGGCCACTTGAGGGTCGGGCCCTCCCCCCACCCCACCCCCTGGCCTGGGCACTGCTCAGAGCCGCCCCCGGCACCGCCACCAGGACGCAGATCGAGACGGTCCGTGACCGCTGCTGGTGATTGTCGGGCTTTCCTCCTCGGCGTGTCCATGGCTCATGACAGAGCTGGGCTGTGTTGGGCAGCCAGGACGCAAGGCGCCCCGGCAGGAGCAGGCAGGGACGGCAGGCGGCCGTGAGGGCCTAGGAACATCGGCTGCGTGGTGCTGCGCGTCTGCTCATGCACCTTAGTGTGTCGGCTGCTGCCCCCTCAGATCAGTGCAACTCTCGGCACATGACCCCCAAGCTGTGCCGCCAGTCTCTCATCCGTGCCCCGTTGCCTCGGTGGCCACTGGGCGCAGTCATGGGAGGGCTGGGCTCGTCTTTTTGTCTCTTGGTTTTGTTCTGTTTGGGGGCTCTCCCTGGTGGTGCTCAGGGATGACTCCTGGTGGGCCAGGGCCCCCTGTGAGGTTCTGGGGATTGAGCCTGGGTCAGCTGTGTGTGATGCCAGCGCCCTCCCTGCGGGACGCGTCCTTCACGCTCTCGGGAAGTGCAGGAGCCTCTGAGCATCCTCTCGGCTGCGTGTCTCTTAGCTAGAGGCGCGGTCCCCTTCACTCCCCCACAGAACCCTTCTGCCCGCATGCTCAAGCGTGTGGGTGTGGGGTGTGCGGTAGCGGCTGCCGGGGACAGTCCCCAAGTCCCCTCGGGGGGGGGGCGCGATCCTTCACCTCCGTGGCCGGTTCCTTCTGTGAAGCGCCGTTATTCGGAGCATTTGCGTGAGCAGCGCGGTTTCTCGAGTACGTTGACACTTTTATTGTTGTGAAGGCTCCTCTCGTCTTCGGTGATGTTGTTTTGCTTAGTTGGGTTTGATTTGGGGACCACACCAGGCTGTGCTCGCTAGCCCGGTGGGTGCTTTGGGCCCTGGTGGCCCTGGGGTTTCCGCCGTTTCCCGCCGTGGGGTTCTGTTCCCGCTGTCCTCCCGGGTGGTGTTGGGGTCTCCTCCATCTCCAGCCCTCATCCTCCTCACCCTTCTGCCCACCCCTGTCTTCAGGATGAGTGTGAGCCACAGAGGAGCGCGTCTTCTCGGCCCTGCTCCTCACCCGAGCCTTTGGTTGCAGGTTCTCGTAGTATTGAAGTGTTGGTGTTAAGTCTTCCGTTGTCAGGTGCTTCCACCCTCTCAAGGTATTTTTCTGTTCCTGCTTCTTGGTGCTTTTTTGGAGACTTTGGGGGCGTGACATGCCTGGCAGTGCCTGGAGGAGCGGGTGGCCCTGGGGGTGAGACCAGGGGCCTCCCGCACACGGCATGCTCACCAGCCCTTCCGAGTCGTCTTCCTGGCCCTTGAATCCCGGGGGTTTCTTTTGAGTCCCCCCCGCCTTGGTTCTTAGCTGTACCTGCCTGTGTGTGGGCGCTCTCGGCACTGTAACGTGGACCCCTTTTCGGAGTTAATCTTGTTTGTTTGGGGGATCACGTGACTCAGTGCTCCGGAGCCACTCCTGGGGCCCATGCGGGGATCCCGGTCACCCGGCCTCCTGCTCGAACGAAGCCTGTGCTCAGCCCTCGGCAGTTCCTGATGTCGCATCCCAGCCGTGCAGAAACCTGTAGCGTAGCTGTCATTTATCGCGCACACGCCGTTATCTGTTTGGGGTTGTCTTTTCTGTGGCTGGTTGTTGGTTTACGCCAGAGGGTGTGAACCCAGAGACTCGCGTTTGCTGAAGATGCGTCTCAGTGCTCTGAGCTCTGCCTCGGGGGTGTAGCCGGGTAGTTTTGAAATACGGTATTTTCAGTTTGTTGGTTTGGGGGTCCCATGCGGTGACAGGTGCAGAGTGTGGCCTTCTGCGGGCAGAGCGTGTGCCCCGCTTCATTCTGCCCGGAAATACCTTTGTTGGGGAGACAAAGAACTTGAGATTGGTGGGGTGGGTTTCCCCCACCGCCATCAGCAACAGTTAGCAACAGTTAAAGATATCCTGCTGTCTTCTGGCCTTCATCATTTTGCGGGGGACGGGGGAAGTGAGTGGTCCTTTGAATTTTTTCCCTCTATTGTACGTGTGACAGTTCAGCACGTGGAGTGCTTGCCTTGCCTGCGGCCGACCCGGGTTTGATTCCCATCACCCCATAAGATCCCCAAAACCAAGCAAAGCAAAAAGAGCGGAGGGCGGAAGTGCCTGTAAAGAAGAGGCCCGGCGCTGGTGTGGCGGGACAGCGTTCGGGGTGGGTCTCTGCGGGCTCTGGTCCCGGGACTCGGCGCGTCTTTGGCGTGTGTTCCCGGCAGCCGGCCTGGGGCGCCCGTGCCGGAGTCTGGAAGCTGCCTGCCATGGACTCGGATTCGCAGGACCACAACTGGGAAAGGTGGGAAACGACAATTCCCTAGGGTCCAGCAGTGAAGGGCAGCGGCACCCGCCCCCTCCCGGAAATGCTCCCCCTGCCCCCCCCCCGTGTGGTGGGGGGACAGCTCAAAGAGGGCCCTGCGGGGGCCCGAGACTCAGGACGAGTGCGGGACTGTGGTGAGGTGTGTCCAGGCTCGGGCAGGAGGTGACAGATGGGCCTTTGTCGCCCGGGACTCTGCTGTTGAAGCGTTTCGGGAGACTGCTGGTTGTTCTGAGCCATTGTTTCTTGGTTGCTTCTGACGTCGAGGGTTTATTTTCGGGTTTTGACCGTGAATAAGGTCTTTTAGCTTTTGGATTCTCCCTTGGAATGTTTTGTCCGTGCTTCTAAATAGAGATTTTTTTTATTTTTCTAGTAGAGATTGCTATGGAATACCTGAATTAAAGATAGTAGTTGGGGGCCGGAGCGAGAGTTACAGCGGGGAGGGTGTCCGACCCGGGTTCGATCTTCCCGGGTCCCCTGCCAGGAGTAATTCCTGAGTGCAGAGCCAGGAGTAACCCCTGAGCATCACTGGGTGTGTCCCAAAAAACAAAGATAGTAGCTCATTGTGACTTTGATATGTTTGGTTTTTATTTTAAAATTGAAGATCTTTCCAAATGAAGTGTTTTGTTTTTTCTTTGATTAGGAAAGCCTTCTCCAACCTGAGATTGAGGAAATTTGTGTATTTGGCTCTGTAGTTACTCTTAATGTATTTTAATTTTCCATACACTTGTACTAGAGCTGGGAATATGGAATCTCTCCTAGAAACGGCCACTTGCCCCTAAATGAATCTTCGCTCGCTGAGTTAAAGTCTGTCAGTAATAAGTCCTGAGGCCCCCCAGAATACTGCTGATTTCCTTTTTAATTTTACTCCACATGTGCAGATAAACCAGGGTGCTGTCGCAGGTCACGGCAACGAGCCTGGTTCCCTCCCGCCCCTGCCCGTCCCCACACACTGTCCGCCTGTGACGGGTCCCGGTACGGTGACGTCTCTTGGTCGGCGCGCGTCTCTGTCCCGGCGTCCGTCTGCCCGCTGACCAGCCGTGTGCTTCCTCGCCTGCCTCGTGAGGGAGGGTGGGTGGAGGCGGCTTTTTCCTGGGGCGACGCTTGCCCTCGTCTGCGGCCTGGCCTCGGACTGCGCGCCTGTTCGTTCTTGGGCGCGTTGCCCCCGTCCGTCTCCGAGGCGGGGCCTCCTTCCCGGGGCCCCCCTTGCTCTCTGGCTGCAGCGGGACCCGGCCCCCGCCAGCTTGTTGGGGGGCCACGCGTGCGCTGTCCCCGTGGACCTGCTTTCCTTGACCCCCTGCCCAGCCACGTGTATAACTACTGCACTAGCGTCCACCAGTCCAGCCAAGCCCGGGGGGCCGGCGTCCCCCCCTCCAAGTCGAAGAAGGGCCAGACGCCCGGGGGAGCTCAGTTTGTCGGCTTGGAGTTGTACAAACGGCTGAAAGAGTTCCTGAAGAATTACTTGACAAACCTTCTCAAGGTAAGCGCTTCACAGGTAACGCTCAGGAGCGTTGGTACGGACACGGGCCGAGTCGCGGAATAGCGGCTTAAGTGCTGAGTCTCTGTCTTTTCTTTTTTCTTCTGTAAGCCGTGTCCTCTTTCTTCATTTCTTTAGAAGTTTTACGAGAACTGTGTCCGATCCTCGGACTTGAGTTATTCCCCATTTTGCATTTGACGTTTGAAACTGCTGCGCTGTCCTGCTCTAGTTCGGGGCGCAGAGAGCGGCGCCCCTGGCCGTGTTGGAGCCCTGTGCTCTGGCATCTGGGGTGGGGATGGGGTTTGGCCCCTTCCCACCCCCCCCACCCCCCCGGTGCCCTGTCTCTCCCTCTCCCACTGCCCTCCCGGCTGCCCGCGCCTTACCTGGGAACGAGTTTCCCGTTGTTTCCCTTAATTACACACTCACGGGAATCACGACCCTGACTGCGCGTTTCCCACCCAAGTCCTGGGCTGCTGTAGTTCTGTTCCCCCAGCGGGGCTGCTGGGATCTTTGTAAGCCGGGCATTTCACGACTCTTGGGTCTGATGGAGGCGACGCATGAACAAATTGAATAGTGCGCTCTCCTGGAGACTAAATTATTAATATTCAGGGAATCAGATTTTTTGAGGAATGGTTTTTTTGGTAGGATTTTTTTTTTTTTTTTGGCCATGCCTGGCAGTGCTCGGGGGTCAGTCCTGCTGGTGCTCTGACCACATGTGCTGGGGCTTGACTCCAAGTTCAGCCAGATGCACGGCAAGCACCCTGACTGCTGGACTACTGCGCCGACCCCTTGGACGCAGAACTTTAAATCCTAATAAGCAGGGATTTCCTTTGTATTCTTAAAGTTTACGGGACTTTCTCTGCATGCGTGTGTGTATTTAATACGATGAGAAAAGTTCCAGTTTGAGACTGATTTCTGTGAAGATTCTCTCTTGGGTCCTCGTGAGCTGGACGCTGAGCGGTTTCAGCCTCATCCAAGTTCCTGTAGCGGCTCAGTGCCCCTGAGCCCGGCCCCGCGGGGTTTTACCGCGGGCCTGTTCCCATTCCGTTCCACGCGCCCTAGGACGGAGAAGACCTGATGGACGAGAGCGTCCTCAAGTTCTACACACAGCAGTGGGAGGACTACCGGTTCTCGAGCAAAGTGCTCAACGGCATCTGCGCCTACCTCAACCGCCACTGGGTGCGCCGCGAGTGCGACGAGGGCCGCAAGGGCATCTACGAGATCTACTCGGTGAGCGCGGGGGGGGCCACCCTGGCCGGGCTCGGGGGCTACAGGCGGTGCCGGGTGGAGGGCGGGCGCCCACCTGCCGGGCTGTTGCACGGAGACTTTCAGCAGTTGGCAGTTGAGTGTTGAATTTTTAGATATCAATTTGGGGGTTGTTTGTACAAGTTTTTGTTCGGGGCCCGCACCTGGTGATGCTCAGTTGACTCCTGGAGGAGCACAGGGGACCCCAGGATGGACCCTGGCTTGGCTGCGCGCGAGCCGAGTGTCCCGCCTGCTGTACTGTCTCTGGCCCGCCCTGCACGTGTCAGCTTGCTTCAGACTGTAGACCGTGAGAGAGCACTCTCTGAGCTGGTTCAGAGCCTCTGCTGACAGGCTGCAGCGACGGCACAGCGGGAAGGCGTTTGCCTGGCACGCGGCTGACCCGGGTTCGATTCCCAGCATCCCATATGGTCCCTGAGCACTGCCAGGAGTAACTCCTGAGTGCATTGCCAGTTGTGACCCAAAAAGCAAAAAAAAAAAAAAATCTGTGGTGAGGCGCCAGAGCGACAGTGAGGGCAGCTAGGTCACTTGCGGCTCCAGGCCTCACGCCCTCGGGTTGATCCCTGAGCACAGCCAGTGTGGCCCAGACTACCCCCGCCACGCCCCTGAGAAAGGAATCACAGGGTGGGGCTGAGGCTGTGACACAGGTGTTGCTGCCACCCCCGCACTCCAGCACTGTCCCCTCACAGCAGCGGGGGCCGTGGCTTCTGTGGGCCACACACGGCGGGAGCTCGGGGGTGGGCGGGTCCTCGGTTTCTCCTTTAGTGGCGTTTGTGCTTGCGGTTGACTTTCTGGCCTGCCCCCGGTGTGGGAAACTGCCCCCACACACACACACACACCCCTGCGCCCACGCCCCGTGTCGGCTCTGCCACGTGGACACTCGCACGCGGCCCTGGGCCGGGCAGGAGCCTGTCGCTGTGGGAGGAATCCTCTCGGTGCCAGGCAAGCCCCGACTCGGACTGTGTTTGACCCCAGAGCGTTTTGTCTTTTCCTTGGGACCACCCCCGGCAGTGCTCGGGCCCCTCCTGAGGCCCGCAGAGCCTCCCCCCCGTTCCATGAGCCCCACAGAGCGTTTGTGCAGATGGAGCCCATGTTGCCCCCCAGCGAGGCTCTGGATGCACGTGGCTCTCATCTCGCCGCCAGCGTGGCACCTGATAGGCGGTTGGGGTCCTGCTTGAGTTACATCAGAGTGACCCTGATTTCTTCGTCTGATGCTTGATCTTCTCCAAGTTGTCCTCTGAAGTGTTGACGCCAGAGCGTGTGGGCGTCTCACCCTTCTCTCTCTCTCTCTCTCTCCCCTCCAGCTGGCCTTGGTGACCTGGAGGGACTGTCTGTTCAGGCCGTTGAACAAGCAGGTACTGTCCGCGTGTGTGTCCCCCGCGGCCCCACTGTCGGGCTCCGGTCTCCTCGAGTCTCTCCCTGGCTGCGGGCAGACATTCAAAGGGTTTGACCGACACGTCCTACATCCTGTAACCCATGTGCCTTCCCTCTCTGTCCTTGCCGAAGGTCACAAATGCTGTTTTAAAGCTGATCGAAAAGGAGAGGAATGGCGAGACCATCAACACCAGGCTCATCAGTGGCGTGGTACAGTCCTACGGTAAGCGGGGCTGGGAGCCCGGCCTGAGGGGCCACGTGGGCAAAGCTGCTAGGTTCTCTCTCTTCTTTTTTTTTTTTAGGATTCTTTTTTTTTTTTTAATTTAATCACCGTGAGACACAGTTACAAAGGTTTCGTGTTTGAGTTTCAGTCATTCAATAATCGAACCCCCATCCCTCCACCAGTGCCTGTTCTCTACCACCAATGTCCCAGTATTCTCCCGCATCCTCCTCCTCCCCCTGCCCCTGTGGCAGACAATCTCCCCCCATACTCCCTCCACTTTGGGGCATTATGGTTTCCAGTGCAGATGCTGAGAGGCTATCCCGTTTGGTCCTTGATCTACTTTCAGCACACATCTCCCATCCCCAACCATCCCTCCAGCCATCCTTGACTCAGTGATCCCTTCTCTGTTCCAGCTGCCTTCTCCCCAGCTCAGGAGGCAGGCAGTCAACTATGGGGCAACACTCCTGGCCCTTGTGTCTACTGTCCTTGGATGTCAGTCTCATGTATTTTACGTTCCACAAATGAATGCAGTCAGTCTATGTGGTACTCCGTTTTCTTTACACTAATGTGATGCTGCTTGATTTTATTCATGTGTTTTTTTAAATTTGCCTGATTCTTGTGCCTTTGAGGAGATTTTGATACATTCAAACTATTTTCAGGTCTCATGCCAAATGACTGGGCATATAATCGTATCATTAATGGAGACAGATGCTAAGCAGTAAACTGTATCAGCTTGAAGGGGGGGATTAAAATGATACATTTTGAGAACATAGGTAACATTATAATTCTTCATAAGTTTAAGGATTTTTAAATTCTCTTCTTTTTTCTTTTTCTTTTCTTTTTTGGTCGAACCAGTGATACTCAGGATTTACCCCTGACTCTGCACTCAGGAATTACTCCTGGCAGTGCCCAGGGACCATATGGGATGCCGGAGATCAACCCCTGGTCTGCCATGTGCAAGGCGAACACCCTACCCTCTGCACTGGCCCCAATTTTTTTTTATTTTAAATTGAATCACCACTAACATAACACAGTTACAAAGTTGTTCATGATTGGGTTTCAGTCATACAATGTTCCAAACACCCACCCCTCCACCGGTGTATATTTCCTACCACCAGTGTCCCCAGGTGCCACATTTCCCCCCACCCCACCCCCCAGGACCTTTCCAAGTTCAGTTGAAGTCATTTTGTTACCCTTAAGCGTGTAGGAATGAAACAGCCTCCGTGAGCGTCGCAGGGACCATGGCCCATGCTGGCCATAGCTCCGAGTTCCCTGCTGTCCGGCGGCTGGGCAGGGCGAGGGGCTTGCTTCCCCCACCATGAACACGGCCCCTCGTTGACCGGGTTCGAGAGCCGGGTCATGGAAAGATAGCGCCTGTGTCTTTGCAGTGGAGCTGGGGCTGAATGAAGATGACGCCTTTGCCAAGGGCCCCACGTTAACGGTGTATAAGGAGTCCTTTGAGTCACAGTTCCTGGCTGACACCGAGAGATTCTACACCAGAGAGAGCACCGAGTTCTTGCAGCAAAACCCGGTCACGGAGTACATGAAGAAGGTGCGGCCGGACGAGGGTCCTGGGGACAGGGAGTTGGGTGGGAGCACAGCATCAGAGGCAGCTTCCGGGGAGGCTCTTGGTGTGGGGTGCCCGGCTGCCCGCTCGTGGGCACCACCGGGCTACGGGCCCGCCTCTTCCCCAGCCCTTCCTGGCGGGATTCCAGCATTGGGGTGGGGCTGCTCTTGGCGGCTTCCGCACAGGCCCTGGGGCCGCCCATGCCCGGCCTCATGGGGACAGCTGTGTCCTGGCGTGCTCGGGGCACCCAATGTGCTGTCCAGGGGGCTCTGTTCTTGCGCTGTTGGTGGGCAGCAGTGTCCTGTCCTGACAGCCTTCCGCCCCCAGCCATCGATTGACCCACTGATTGGGGTCGCACCCAGCAATGCTCAGGATCACTTTGGCGCGGCTCAGGGGGCCCTGTGGGGCCGGACATCGAAGCGGAGAAGGCCACTGTCCTGTCTGCGCCCCTCCGTGCGCGTGCTCAGTGATGGGCAAGGGAGAGCCGAGCTGTTCCTGGACTCTTCGTTAAATCTAGTGGCCGACCTTTTCGCGCAGCCCTTCCTGGGGACCGCAGCGCCCCTGGCTGCGGGAGCGGCAGTCAGCGTGGGTCTTCGTCGAGCGCTGTGTTGTGTGGGAGAGGCGCCGTGGGGTCTCTGGGTCTCTGAATGCCGGAGCTGAAGTGCTGGCACAGTGGGGAGGTGCTTGCTTTGCACGCAGCAGACTCGGGTCCCGTTCCCGGCACCCCCTGTGGTCCCCCAAGCACCAAGAGTGATTCCTGAGTGCAGAGCTGGGAGTGACCCCTGAGGATCATTGCTGGGTGGGCCACTGACCCCCGTGCAGCAGGAACCGTGGGACAAGAACCCGCGGTGGTGGCATCTGCTGTCCCCAGAATCAAAGGGCTCCTCCCCCCTCTCCCTCGCCCCCCCAGGCCGAGGCCCGGCTGCTGGAGGAGCAACGGCGGGTGCAGGTGTACCTGCACGAGAGCACGCAGGACGAGCTGGCCCGGAAGTGCGAGCAGGTGCTCATCGAGAAGCACCTGGAGATCTTTCACACCGAGTTCCAGAACCTGCTAGATGCCGACAAGAACGAAGGTGGGCCCACCCGAGCCCGGCCCTGGCTGCCTGGCTGCGTGTGAAGCTCTAGACTCCAAGGGGGGCTGGGTGTGTGTGTGTGTGTGTGTGTGTGTGTGTGTGTTATGTGAGGGTGTGTGTGTGTGTGTGTGTGTGTGTGTGTGTGTGTGTGTTGGTGTGTGTTATGTGAGGGTGTGTGTGCTGTGAGGTGAAGTTCTGGACTCCGAGTTGCCGTGTGTGGTGTACGCGTTTGTGTGGAGAGAATAGCTCAGCTCTTCTCCTTGACCTGAGAGCGTTTAGCTTCAGGCGTCCAGAGGTGAACTTTGCCTGTGTGAGTTCTTGGAGGTGCGGCTGTTTGTGACGCAGTTCCCCTTATTCGCACACATTTCAGTGGGCCGTGTGAGGAGCCCAGGAGAGGACTGGTGGGTGCTGGAGTGTGAGCACAGCGGGAGGGCACTTGCCTTGCACACAGCCCGCCCAGGTTCTGCCCAGCACCCGACGTGAACCCCCGAGTGCCAACAGGAGTGAGGAGGAAGCCCAGAGGACTGTCAGGTGTAACCCAGAAATGAAGAAAAGGTCGATGGTTGGGGGCAGAAATGTGACTCAGGTGGCCCCAGGCCCCTCAGACTCCCCAGAGTGACAGCTCCTCTCCTCTGCCCCCAGCTAACCAAAATAAAATAAGATTGGTGGTTTGGGGTTTGTTTTTTGTTTGTTTTTTAACTTTAAATGTAGGAGTACTGCTGTTTATTCAGCCATTGACTAAGCTGGCTGAAGCGGTCATGAACTTGACGTTTCTTTTATTTTTTACATTTTTTTAATTGAATATCCATGAGATAGACCATTACAGAGCTGTTCATAGTTGGGTTTCAGTCGCACAGTGACCCAGCACCCATCCCCCCACCGGGGCACATCTCTCACCACCATGTCCCTCGTTTCCCCCCCAACACCCACCCCCGGCCTCCCTCCGTCAGAGACATTTTCCTTCTTGATCTCTTTTCCTTTTCCTTTCGTGCATTGTGGTTTGCAATACAGGTACTAAGAGGTCATGGTGTTTGTTCAGGTCACTCAGTATTTTTATCAGGACAGTAAGACTGGAATAGCTTTTTAACTGGGTGGCAGCTTTGGGGTGTGGATGTGACTGCCAAGGCTTCCGGAGTACAGGGAGGTGGGGGGAGGTAGCCCATCCCGATCCCGAGAAAGCCTGGAGATCTCAGTCACAAAGCCCCAATTACCTGAATTTTCAGCAGATTAGATCTCGGTGAGGTCCATCCTGAGATGGTGGAGTCAGGTCAGGGATTATGGCGGCGATTTTGGAGCAAGTGGCTGCCAGGGGCTCTGCTTGGGCGGGCACCAGGCTGACCCGCCCCCCTCCAGTTTACCCTGGTCTGTTCCGCTATGCGAGGGTCTAAGATTAACTGCAGCTTGTGATCTCTTCTGAGATTTATTTATGGGTCTCTGAGGAAAGGCCAGTCAATGAGCTTGTATAGCTGAGCTGGAGGTGGTTTGTGGGTGTGGCTCCCACATTCCTCACTTTCGGTTGTTTAATTTTTTGGTAAACTTGGCCAGACCCCAAGTTGTTGGGATCCAGCCAAAGGCACAGTGGCAATTTGGGGGTGTCAAGAAGCCTGAAGGCACTATCAGGCTGCTAATGCATCCCCCCCGTAAGTACAGGTTGACCTACTAGCAGCATCATACCCCCAGAGACGGATGTTTAGATTTGGCATTTTTCTTCTTTGGCTCTCGTAAATTGTATGCCATACAGAGATTAAATGAAGAGTTTGGGGACCTTTTATAATCCATCTGTTTTACCAGGTTAGATATTTCTCATCTCCTTAAATTCCTTTTTAAAAGATATTTAGTGCCCAGTTGCTGGCTCCTGGCTTGGCGCTCTGGCCTGCCCTGGGAAGTGGCGTTCCCCCTGGGAAGCGCGGGGCTCAGCAGCCCCGGCCCCAGCCCGGAAAGGCCCAGCCCAGCTCTGGGCTGAGTGTCGCTGGGAACAGCACCTCGGCCCCCTGCTTGGGTGTCTCCTTCCCCACCAAAAAACACTCGTGCCCGTGTGTCAGGCACAAGGAATGTCTCCGTTTTGAGAACGCTGGGGCCGAATGATAGCGGAACTGGTAGGGCTTTTGCCTAGCGTGCAGCTGAGCCCGGGTTCAGTGCCCACCAGCCCATTTGGTTCTCCGAGCACTGCCAGGAGTAGTTCCTGAGTGCAGAGCCAGAGTAAGCCCTGAGCACTGCCAGGTGTACCGCCTTCTCCCCCAAAAGACGTCCAAGAGAATGTCGGGCGTCTCAGATGAAGGTCCTGCAAAAGGGATTTCTCCCTTGGAAAGTAGCTCCTCTAGCAGCATGAGTGCACTTTCTTTCGGGAATCCCTACGGAAATAGGAAGTGCTCGATGGTCGTCGGTGCCTTGGGTTGTCACAAAGTGCAGTGACTCGGGGGCGGCGGGGGGGGGTCACAGAACGGGGGCCACTTGTCTCGGCGCACACAGTAACGGGCGCACCTTCTCCTTGCAGATTTGGGCCGCATGTACAATCTGGTGTCCAGAATCCAGGACGGCCTGGGGGAGCTGAAGAAGCTCCTGGAGACACACATCCACAATCAGGGCCTCGCGGCCATCGAGAAGTGCGGAGAAGCTGCGCTGAATGTGAGTCGGGCCTCGGGAGGGCGCCGGGCGAGAGTCTGCAGGTACAGGCCACCTGGGGCCTGGCTGCTGCTGGCCCGGGACCCTTCGGGAGGCCGCTGGCCCCCTTTTCCTCTCCCTCTGCCATTCTCTGGCCGTGGGTTGGCGGCCGCCTTGGCTGGCAGGGACCCGTAGGGGAGGCATTTGTCACACCCCCACCCCGGGGCCCCATTGCGGTATCTGTCGTCCAATTCAAACTTTCTGCCTCGTGGTGCTTGGGGGACCTGTGGGTGCTGGGATCTCACGGACAGGAGGTAGGGGCGGGGCGTGATGTAATCGTCTCATTGGGAAACAGGGTTCAGGGAAGTGGGGTGACCAAAGGGGCCTCTGAGTGAAGGCTGCTCTTGGGGCCCGCTGGCTTTGAGGTCGGGGGTTAGCGCACCGATGGGGGCAGCTGATTTGGAATGTGAAGCTGGAGGCAGTGCAGTGAACTGAGTTCAATACAGTTATTCTAGCAACACAAAGGGAAGCGGGCCTCGAGGCGGGAAGGCCTAGACTACCCTGAGCTGGGGCCTCAGAGCCAAGGACAGACGGAAGGAAAGGAGTTAAAGGGGGAGAGGGAGGAGGCAGATGGCGGGTCACTGGGGCTGAAGGACAGCCGTCGTCTGCCCGAGCCAGAGGGCCAGCAAAGCCAAAAGTAGGAGTTCAGCTGCAGTGACCAGGCTTGAGTGTGTGTGTTCTCGGCCCCGTGCTGGGCTCTGCGTGGGGCTCTCTCCACGGAAGCCTGAGGGCCATTTTCTGTGCCCAGGCGGAGAGTGTGCTTCTCGACAACCCCAGACCGGGCGGCCTGTGTGCCCTGCTGCTGGCCCCGGCGCTGTCCACTGGTCCTACATCTTTAGGGGCTGCTCGGCCTGGGCGCGTCACGGCCTGTTGGGTCCCTGCTGTAACCGACCTCGCTTCTGTTCCCACACGCAGGATCCCAAAATGTACGTGCAGACGGTGCTGGACGTGCACAAGAAGTACAACGCCCTGGTCATGTCAGCCTTCAACAACGATGCCGGCTTCGTGGCCGCGCTCGACAAGGTGGGTGTGTGGGTGCCATGGCTCTGGGGGGCTGGGGGGGGCAGCGCGTGACCCCAAACGGCACTTGTGGCCCTGCAGGCTTGTGGGCGCTTCATCAACAACAACGCGGTCACCAAGATGGCCCAGTCGTCTAGCAAGTCCCCCGAGCTGCTGGCCCGCTACTGTGACTCCCTGTTGAAGAAAAGGTATGGTTCGCTCCTGTGACTCAGTCTCCCTGGTGGACTAGATTACAAATTACCTCAGGCTGTATGTACCTCGGAGCTTGTTTTATCTTATTTTGGTATCATGTGTCACACCTGGCTGTGCTAAGGTGCGGAACATAAAACTAGATCCTGGCTCTCTGGTCAGGAATTATTCCTGGCAAGCTTAGGGAACTGTATGGTTTGCCAGGGATCAAACCTGGGTCGGCCACATGAAGGCAAGTGCCCTCCCTGCCGTACTATCACTCTCTCTTTAAAATATTTTTTAAATGTTCTTATTGAATAAACTTGTGTGTCTGTTCCACGGGGCTCATGAATTGGTAGATGCAGCCGATGGATGCAGTGTTCTTTCCACAGGGCCCATGAGTGGGTATATGCTGCCGTTGGACGCAGCGTCTGTTCCATGGGGCTCTTAAGTCGGTGTAAGTGGCCGATGGACACAGTGTCCATTCCACAGGGCCCACGAGTTCGTATATGCGGCCGATGGACACAGTGTCCATTCCACAGGGGCCGTGAGTCAATGTACGTGGTCATTGGATGCAGTATCTGTTCCACGGGGCCCACGAGTTGGTATATGCGGCCGATGGACACAGTGTCCATTCCACAGGGGCCATGAGTTGGTGTACATGGTCATTGGACGCAGTGTCTGTTCCACGGGGCCATGAGTCGGTTTATGTGGCCACTGATCGTCAGGTTCCGCGTTCACCGCTGCCCATCCCTGATAGGCACTTTTCCCACCCCTGCTGGCTCCCTCTTTCCTTCCCCGGGCCGGGCAGTGTCTCGCGTGTCTGGCCTCTGAGTTTTGTGACTAATGCCATGATCAGTTGGAGGGTACATTAGCGTCTCTGTGTCTTCTTCAACGGTGGGGTGACAACTCCAGGGGAGTTCCGTGTGGAATCCCGGTCTGCGCCGTGTCACGTACTGGGGGTGCGTCTCCGGTCACGTTTCCCCAACTGTCGGGGTGAGCCGTGTCCGCCCGCCGGCTGTCTGCTTCAGACAAGTGGGTCCCGGTTCCTGCACCCGATGTTTAATCGGGGGATTTGCTTTTCTGTGGGTCACTTTCACGAGTTTGTTCTTTCCACACCTGGGTTTGGTTCTTAGCCCCGGGTTGTCTGCTGGGCACGAACTCCCTCTCAGTGACCGGCCCGGGGGAGGGCCCTGCCCTGGGCCCGTGGGGCTCTTCAGAGGCGCCCCGGTCACTTCTTTGTGCTTTTGCTCCCTGGCTGTTGGAGACATGTCTGCCCACGTCTCTGAGGCCACCGATAGCCGTCCCCTCAGTGTCCTCTGAGAACCTGGCGCCCTCGGGATTCCATCCAGAGTTGGTTTCTATGGGTCATGGTCGGTAGTGGTCAGTGTGATCGCCTTCGCCAGAAGGGTTGTCCCTCGCCCGGGGTCGACCCCTGGCTCCCGGCTTCACACCAGCATGGCCAGCCTGTCTGCTCTTCCCAGGCCTGTGGGGAGGGTGTGCAGGGCTGGGCGCTGACATGCCTGGAACCCGTCCCGGCCAGAGCTCGCTCAGCTGTGGGGGCATTGTAGGTGGGTTTTTAAGGGCCTTTGTGAGGGGCCCTTGAGGTCCTTCACCCCCGAATCGCATGACTTCCCCTGATTCTGACTGCGGACAGAACTGGTTGGCAATAGACTAAACCCTCTCGAAGCTACTGTGACTGTTGGAACCATAGAAGGTAAACTCGGTGCCTTTTTATTTTTTCACGGTCAATCAATTAGAAAAGTCAGTCTTGTTTGCCTACATTTCATGTGATCTCTTGGTAGAAAACTTCTTTAGAATTCTCTGGAGGCTGGAGTGATAGCACAGCGGGTGGGGCATTTGCCTTGTACACGGCCGACCTGGGTTCGATTCCCAGCATCCCATCTGGTCCCCCGGGCACCGCCAGGGGTAATTCCTAAGTGCAGAGCCAGGAGTAGCCCCTGAGCATCACCGGGTGTGACCCAAAAAAACAAAAGAAAAAAAAACAAGAATTCTCTGGGTGGCATCTAATGATCGTCTGCTGTTGCTTTTGCCTGGTGGCGCCTGTGGCCCCTTGGCAGTCTGTCTGTCTGTCTGTGTGTGCTGGGGGGGGGGGGGGGGGGTGCGGCCTCCCTCTCCCCACTCCAAGGTCTGGAAGCCAAGAGGCTGATGTGTTTGTAAACATTGTGCCTTTTGAAACATTTTTTTCCAGTTCCAAGAACCCAGAAGAAGCTGAACTGGAAGATACGCTCAATCAAGTGGTAAGGTGCTTACTGGTGCCCGTTTCCCCGCATGCCCGCCGGCCACGTGCCGCTGCCTGGGGCTGGTCAGCGCTGGGCAGGACTATGAGCCGCCAGCACCAGGCCCTGGGGGTGCTGGGTGCCCCCACACACAGGGCACCTACCGTGCGCTCCTGGGTTTGCAGATGGTGGTCTTCAAGTACATCGAGGATAAGGACGTGTTCCAGAAGTTCTACGCCAAGATGCTGGCCAAGCGCCTGGTGCACCAGAACAGTGCGAGCGACGACGCGGAGGCCAGCATGATCTCCAAGCTCAAGGTGGGCGAGCGAGGCCCTGGGGGAGCCCCCGGCTCTCAGCTCTGTCTCGGGCGTGGCGCCCCACAGCTCCCGGCTCTTCTTGCCCGGCCTGCCGACGGCTCCCCTCCCCGCGCTGCACTCGCTCTGCGTTCTCTCTGGGCGCTTCTCCCGCGTGCCCCGTCCAAGCCCACACCCCCGCCATCCTCTGGACTCCCTGTCCTCAGTGACGACCCCCCCACCGCAGTTGGCTTGGGGACGCAGAGTCTGTCACCCCTCTGCCGTGCTCGTGTGCGTGCAGGCGCTGGGCGGAAGGGACTTCGAGCGGCATCCGAGGAGGGAGCGCGTGCCTTGCGCCCTGGATTTCTGTGCGGGCGCGTCTGTGCCCGCGGAAGCCCGTGAGCCAGCCCCCCGCTTGTCCATTTCAGCAAGCGTGCGGCTTCGAGTATACCTCCAAACTCCAGCGGATGTTCCAGGACATCGGAGTAAGCAAAGACCTGAACGAGCAGTTCAAAAAGCACCTGAGCAATTCCGAGCCCCTGGACCGTGAGTACCACGCGCGGCGTGACCGCCTCGAGCCAGTGCCACCCGCGCGGGCAGGGGCAGAGCGAGGGTTGCCGTCAGCCGGGGCCACACCGCAGGCCCCCCCAGGAGCCCTGGCCTGGCCACCTGGGCTGCCCACAGTCGGCTCCAGTTTCCGCGGCCTCAGCTTGACGCCCTGGAGGGGGTTTCCGGGTGATGCCGGGATGGCTTAGACCCTGGGGCCCGCGTGGGGCAGGTGAAGGCGACGCCATGGTGGGCGTCACTGCCCAGACACAGCAGACTTTGGGCGAAGGTGGGGTTCCCGCCTCTGGGGAGACAGCCACGATCCGCCGCAGCCCGTCCTGGGGCCGCGGGCTGGGCCTCAGGGGGCTCACCCTGTCGGGCGCCTCGCACAGCAAAGTCCGCTGGATCCGGGAGGGAGGGGGCTGTGTTTTGGGTTTTTTGAGTTTGGGGGAATCACCAGCTTGACAGGCTGGAGGAAGGGCATGAATTCTGACTGAAGTGCAACGGGGAAAGTCATCCTGGAGGAAGGTTCCGACACTGACCACTGTCGGGGTTTAATTGAATGGGGTCGTTTCATTAGGGGAGTAGCTTGCGGGGGGCGCCCGTCACGCGCAGCCGCTTTGGGGTGACACTCTACATCTCCCCCAGTGGATTTCAGTATCCAGGTCCTGAGTTCCGGGTCGTGGCCCTTTCAGCAGTCCTGCACCTTTGCGTTGCCGTCAGAGGTAAGACGGCAGCACCGCTGCTGTGGGGGGTGTTGCGAGGGGGTCAGTCTGCTCCAAGACGGGCAGCAGGAAAAGACTCGCTTGTCGTCTTTTTCTTGCTGTAAAATCTTGGGAGCAATCAGTGGCTGAATAATTAGCAGTACTCCTACATTAAAAAAAAATTAGGGGAGCAGGGGCTGGAGCAATAGCACAGCGGGTAGGGCATGTGCCATGCACGCAGCCGACCCAGGTTCGATTCCTAGTATTCCATATGGTCCCCCAAGCACCGCTAGGAGTGATTCCTGAGTGCAGAGTCAGGAGTAAACCCTGAGCATCGGCTGGGTATGACCAAAAAAGAAAGGAAGGGAGGGAGGGAAGGAAGTCAAGGGTCTGGAGCGATAGCACAAGCAGGGAGGGCGTTTGCCCTGCGTATGGCCAACCTGGGTTCGATCCCTGGCATCCCATAGGGTACCCTGAGCACCTCCAGGAGTGATCCCTGAGTGCAGAGTCAGGAGTAAACCCTGAGCATTGGCTGGTGTGACCCAAAAAGCAAAAAAAAAAAAAAAAAAATGGGGAGTATCCCCGGCCGTGGGATGGAGCCCAGGCTGCCCTGTGCAGGGCCCGGGGCACCGCTCAGCCCCGGCCGCCTGCCGGGAGGGTGCGTCTGGGCACTGCTCCTCCCCGCCGGGCTCCGCAAGAGCCTCCCACGCCACTGGGTCCGTTCGCGGGGCCCCTGACGCTCTCCTCGCCCCCAGCTGGAGCGGAGTTACCAGCGCTTCACGGCTTTCTACGCCAGTCGGCACAGCGGCCGGAAGCTGACGTGGCTGTACCAGCTGTCGAAAGGGGAGCTGGTCACCAACTGCTTCAAGAACAGATACACTCTGCAGGTAGGGGCCCCTTCGCGTTGGCCGACACGCTCCCGCCCGCGAGGGGCACGCGCCACCACTCAGGAGGCAGAACCCAGCGGCTCCTGCCGTGGAGTTGAGAGTCAGGTTCTGGGGGCACAGGCCGGCCGGACCCCACAGCCTCGCATCTGCTCTGGAGAGACCCGGCTCACAGGGGGAGGCCCGGGGAGGCCTGGAAGAGCCGGGTGGCTCGGAGCCTGCTGCTTCCCCTGCCCCCATTGTTCTCCTCGTGCCGCTGGCAGGTTCCGGCCTGACCCCGGTGGGGAGGAGCGTGGCTGCTCTCCACGCACACGGACGATTAGGGCACAGGCGCCAGGTCTCGGAGTTGGAGCGCGCGCGGGTTCAGGCAGGCCCAGAAGCAGAGGACACTGGCCGGAGCGGTCGTGCCTGGCACACACACATCCTCGGCATCACATGTGGTGCCCAGAGCACTGCCGGGAATGGTTCCCGAGCACAGAGCCAGGAGTAGCTCCTGAGCACCGCTGGGTGTGACCCGGTCCTATTTATTTATTTGATTTTTTTTAAGGTGCCCAAGCTCAGTAGAAATTTGATTTGAAAAAGGAAGGGACAGGGCCAGAGCCATGGGGTGGGGGGGCGCGTTTGCCTTGATTTGCCTTGCACGGGGCCGCCCCGAGTTTGGTCCCCAGCATCCCATATGGTCCCCCAAGCACCGCCTGGAGTAATTCCTGAGTGCAGAGCCAGGAGTAACCCCTGAGCATCGCCTGGTTTGACCCCAAAGAAAAGGAAAGAAAGAAAAAGGAAGAGACATGGAGAGGGCATCTGTCCTTATGCGCGTTAGGGCTCAGCGTTTGTGTTTACCGCATGCGAGAAGGAAAACCAGGAGGGCTGGGGAGCCGGGGCGCTGGTGCAGGGCTTCCCCCGAGCACCCCACCGGCCGCGCGTTTCACGCTGGCTTCTCTCTTTCATGTGGGGGACCTCAAAGGCGTCCACCTTCCAGATGGCCATCCTGCTCCAGTACAACACGGAGGACGCCTACGCCGTGCAGCAGCTCACGGACAGCACCCAGATCAAAATGGTAGGGGCGGGGCCAGAGTGGGCGTGGCGTGGCGTGGTCTGAAGGGTGGGGGCGTGGTCTGGGTTGTAGGGGGCGGGGCGAGGGGCGTGGCCTGGAGAGTGGGGGCGTGGTCTGGGTTGTAGGGGGCTGGGAAAGGGGCGTGGTCTGGAGAGTGGGTGGGGCCGTGGTGAGAGGCGTGGTCTGGGGAGTGGGCGGGGCCGTGGCGAGAGGCGTGGTCTGGAGAGTGGGCGGGGCGGGGCGAGAGTCGCCCCCCAGTGCCTAGTAGAAACATTCGCGCTCTCGCAGCTTCAATAGGACTTTTTCAAACGCTCAGATCTGCAGCACACTGGCACACACGTTCCCCTCCCGCTTCCCCCGGCGCCCCTCTGATCCGAGTGTGGCGACCTAGCCATCCCCCCGCTAGTCGGGCCTTCCCCCCAGTGTTGGCAGCTCTCTGAGCCTGCCCGGCAGTTCGCTGGACCCGGCCGCCTGGGGCCACCTCTCAGCTGGACCTCTGCCGCCCCGCGGAAGGGGCAGTAGGTGCTTCCTCAGGGGGACGCTTCCGCGCACCCTGCGCCCCCCACTCTTCTGTGTCAGTCCTGTTCCCACGCGGGGACTCAAGCTCAGTCCCCGGCACCGACCTGCTGTGTCTCTGGGACAGCCACAGCACCTTGCCTGTCGCCTCTTTGAGGGGCTTCTGCCCTTGCCCATCTCACACATCTGTGCTGGTCCCTGCATGGTCGGGGTGACGCCCCCTTCTGTGGGCCAGGGGTGCCCTCACGCTCGTTGCCCGGCCTGGGGCTCTGGGCATTGTTCCTCCCACTCTGGGTTGGGTTGGGGTGTTTCGTGAACAGACTCTCACCTCGGTTTTAAGAGAGTCACAGGATTGTCCGTCTGTCTGTGTGTGTGTGTGTGTGTGTGTGTCTCTCTCTCTCTCTCTCTCTCTCTCTCTCTCCCGGGTCACGGCATTTCCTGCACCTTCCTCCCCGCCCTCTCCCCTCTGATGGGGGCCGGGTGGGGCCTCAGCTGCCTCTTCTCGGGCAGGGCCGTTGTCAGGTTCAGCTCTGCTCCCTGGAGCGTGTCTCGGACTCCTGCGGCTGAGATATGCTCCGGGTCTTTGGGATTTAGTATTAGCTTTTATTTGAAGAACTTTTGAATTGTTCCTACCTTTACTTTCTTTTTTTTAGCAATACTGCTGTGCACATTAACTTAAATTATATGAGTTTTCAATTTGAATTTTCAGTTTTCTTGGGTGAACCCGAGGGTGGGTTTGCTGCGTCCCGTGAGCTCTGAAGAAGGGTGTCCGTGTGGGCTTCGTGGGGTCTCCACCTCCCCCATCACAGCCGCCCTGGGGGCCGGGCCTCTCTGTGGTGTCCGTGTGTGGTGTCCAAGGACCTTCCGTGTGCTGACCGGCCCCTCCCTGTCAGCTTTGGAGAAGTGTCCTTTGCGGGGGTGGGAAAATAGAGCTCAGAGTGCACACATGCATAAGGGGGTCCCAGGTTCAATCACTCACACTGCCTGATCCTCCAGACTCAGGAGCACTGGGGTGTGGCCCCCAAAAAGTAGGCAGGACAAGCCAGTTCATAGGCTTGCTCGGTTTGGTTTGGGTCATACCAGCAGTGCCCAGGGCTTACCCTGGCTCTGCACTCGGAGGTCACTCCTGGTGCGGGTCAGAGGGACCGTACGGGGTGCTGGGGATTGAACCTGGGTCCGCTGTGTGCAGGTACACGCCCTGCCTGCTATACTAGCCCTCCGGCTCCTTGGCTCATTTTTAAATTGGGTTATTTGTCCTTACCGTGTGGGAAGAGCCCCTCGTGTCCTTCCCTTGCCCCATGGCAGACACGCCGTGTGGATCCTTTCTCCCGTTCTCTGGGTCACCAGTCTCACACATTTTCTGTGATTTTTCCCCCTTTCGTTGTACTTGATCCGAGGAAACATTGCATAAGTCAGGGTCAGAGGTCCTTTGCCTTTCGAATGACCCTGGCAGACATGTTAGAGGTCAGTTGTCCAGTTCCCTTCTTGTAATCTGCGCGTCTGTCCTTTGCTGCGGCCAGATCCTCCGTGAGCCCCGGTTCACTGCACCTTGTAGGCAGAGGCGCTGGGCATGGGGTGGAGGTTGCCCTGGGCTTCTAGATTCCTGGGGTGGTGGTTTGGTGTCTTCATACTAAATCATCAGCACATGAGCCCGGGGTGGGGTGTCTTCCGTTACGTGGGTCATTGCACCTTTCGGCCATTGTGTAACCTTCAGACTCTTCGTCTTCCGCCGCTAAATGAATCTGCTCCGAGGTGTTGTTGCTTTGACACTGTTGCGAATGGAGTTGTCTGTCCGGTGCCAGTAGGGGAAACTCAGCCGAGGGGTCACTGCGTGGAGATCGTTGATCTCGCAGCCTGAGGACGCCCTGGTCTGGGTCTGGATTCCTCGGGGATGTTTGAATGTACAGTGACCTGCAGATTCCGGGTTTTACCCAGGCCTTGCCCCCCTGGTGGATGAATGCCTTTTCCTTATTTTGCTTGCATGGTCTTTCTTCTGGTTACTGTGTCTGGCATATCAAGTACTCTCGGTAGCTTGCCGGGCTCTCCGAGAGGGGCGGAGGAATCGAACTCGGGTCGGCCATGTTGGCTGCGTGCAAGGCAAATGCCCTACCGCTGTGCTATCGCTCCAGGTCTTTCTTGAGGAGTTTCTTGTGATTTCATACAGTGCTGGGCAGAAGTTTGTCCTGTTTGTGAGCTCGGGAGAAACTTCCATCACTGTAAAGTGTGTTGTTAACCAGGGGGTTTCCTCAGTGTCCTAAAGTAGAACATTGGTAAAAAGTCGTAGAGACCAGAACAGTGGTCCAGTGGCAGGGCTTTTGCTTACTGGCAGCCGACCCTGGTTCAATCACCGGCACCCCATATGGTCCCCCAAGCCCTGCCAGGAATAATCCCCGGGCTCAGAGCCAAGAGTAAGTCCTGAGCCCCCCCTGGGTGCAGCCCAGAAACAAACGTGGAAAGTGTTTTTGCTTTAAGTTTATCTCACGCGTCTCCCCTCTTCTGTCTCCTTGTCTGGGTTTGCCGCTCTCTGTGGAGCCCCGCAAGGGTCGCAGACAGATCCCTTGGCGTCCCTTTTCCTTCCCTTGTGCCTTAGATGTCAGGGGGCTGCAGGAACCCCGGGTTATTGCCTTGGTCCTTCCTGAACTTGCCTTCAGGCCTTGGTGCACCTCCCTCCATCGGGCCCGGACCAGGAGGCTGGAGTGACCAGACCCATGTTGAGTGGCCCAGTCTCAGCTGTGGCACGTGTCCACACGGGGTCCTGCATCCCGGGTCTGAGGCTGGCCTGACCTTGTGGCCTCATGGTGTGAGCCCAGTAGGGGTGAGGGGAGATGAAGGACCCGTTTCCCTCCCAGCCACCAGGCCGAGGACTGCCTGTACTTGGGATCAGCAGTTCGGGGACCCTCTGGAGCCCTCCCTCTTCCCTGCGGGCACAGTCCCCCAGGCGCCTGGTTTTGCTCTGGGAATGGGGACGGACGTCGCCACGGGAAGTGCCATTCGCCCCCACTCACCCCTTCTCTTGCCCACAGGACATCTTGGCCCAAGTCCTGCAGATTCTGCTGAAGTCCAAGTTGCTGGTAGGTTTGCGGGGCCCCTCACGCGCGGGCCACCTCTTCCCGAGGGTCAGCTGACGGCCGTGTCCTTCTAGGTCTTGGAAGACGAAAATGCAAATGTGGACGAGGTGGAATTGAAGCCAGATACTTTAATAAAATTATATCTCGGTTATAAAAAGTAAGGCCCCTAATCAGGAGGGGACCCCGGCTCCCACCTGGCCCCGATCCCTGGCCTGGCCCCGATCCCTGGCCTGGCCCGTGTTGTCACAGGGTGGTGCGGAGCGGGTCCTGCTTCTCCGTGCCATCGGGGTCTTGGCATTACGGCTCCCGGCAGGAGTGGGCGCCTGGGAGATGCACGAATGGGCGTCTGGGAGATGTGCGAGCGGGCAGGGGATGGGGTGTCCGCGGCGTTTCCTGAAACTACGGTGACAGGCGTCCCTCTTGTCCCGACAGTAAGAAATTAAGGGTTAACATCAACGTGCCGATGAAAACGGAGCAGAAGCAGGAGCAGGAGACCACCCACAAGAACATCGAGGAGGACCGCAAGCTGCTAATCCAGGTGCCGGCGGCCCTGCAGACCCTCACTTCCTGTCCCCGCTGGGTGGGGTCTGCCCTCTGCGGGCCCTTCCGGCCATGATAGTCCAGCGGGGAGGGCGTTTGCCCTGCAGGAGTGACCCCCGAGCGTCACCGCGTGTGACCCAAACAATAAATCGATGAACATGCCCGTTTTTCCTCCTTGGCGACACAGGCCGCGATCGTGCGAATCATGAAGATGAGGAAGGTTCTCAAACACCAGCAACTCCTCGGGGAAGTGCTCACTCAGCTGTCCTCCAGATTCAAGCCTCGGGTTCCTGTCATTAAGGTACAGAACCGCCTCGGCGGTCAGAGCCATCGTGTGTGGGGCGGGCGCCTGCCTTGATCCGGCAGACCCAGGCTCCACCCCCGGCCTGCCGTCTAGTCAGTCCCCCGAGCACCACGGAGCCAGGAGTCATCCCGGAGGGTCGCCGGATGTGGCTCAGAAGTCAGAAAAAGAGAACAAGGAAAGACGAGAGCAGCAGGCTGATCACGCAAAGCAGCCTGACTGGTTCATGTGTGGGTTCCTGTCCCCGAAGGGGGTGATTTTTTTAACGTGGCTGACATAGGACCCCCACGATGAGTAACAGCTCTAGAGTCTGAGTTAGATGGGACCAACCTTCTAGAAGGTTCCCTGACTTCTCCAGGGCTCTGGGCTGACATTGGGGCATAGCACCCACCCCTGAGCTGTGCTGGTATTCCCGAGTCGCTGGTTGGCGCCTGTGCACGCGGTCGTGCCAACTGCCCCGTGTAGCCCGGCCCGTGCAGACCCTGGGGGCAGTGGCGGAGACCCCTGGCAGACAGGCCGTGCCACTCCAGTGCCACACGTAGTGAGACGGAGTCTGGCATCGCCGCCGTCAACCCCACCCCGGCTGGGCTGTCCGCGGGCAGGAGGCCGGGCCAGGAAGCTGCTGGCTGGGCTTTTGACCACTCTCCCTTTTCTCTTTAAAAACGCCCAGAAATGCATTGACATTCTGATTGAGAAGGAGTACTTGGAGCGTGTGGACGGCGAGAAGGACACCTACAGTTACTTGGCTTAGCGCTGGCGGAGGCGCTGACCGTGCCCGTTAGCTCCTGCAGAGACTGGCCGAGCGGGGCCCGTGTCCGGCTGTCGGGCCGCCCCGCGCAGCCCTCAGACCGGCCTGGCCCGCGGGGCTGCATGTGGCCGCATTCCAACCCACCCACCGGCTCCGGCCCGCGGTCTGCGGCGGCCCCGAGCCGGGGAGCGCGCCCAGGCGGACCCACGCGTAATCTGCTATGAGAAACCATTTGTATAGTGTGTTTCATTTTTTAATGTGTGGAAATAAAGGAAATTAAAGGATTTCTGTACAAGTTGCATTGGTTTTAAGTTTTACTAATTTCTATATGTAAATAAAAGCTATAAAGATTATGGACATTGATCCTGGCGTGTCTTCCTGGGGTCTGACCCTCGGGCCCTGGGTTTTCTTTCTGAGAATGTGAACTTTCCCCCGTGTCATCTCCCCTCCCCCACCCCCAAAACACGCATGCTCGTGTCTGACAGGTCTCGCTGGCCCCAGCTGCTCCTGGATCCCGAATGCCCTTGGCGGTGGCGAGAAATTACAACCCAAGAACAGAAGCGAGCTGGGGGGCGGAGGGCGGATCACGGGCAGGAACCCACAGCCCCCTCCCCGCAGCCAGGCACCTGACGAGACCCTCCCTCACCGGGAGCCCGCCCTGCCTCTCTCTCCCCAAAGGATACAGACGCAGACAGACAGACGGAACCTCCAGGCCAGCCGAGCAGCCTCTGACCCCGCTGGGAACCAGAGCAGGAAGACCCTGGCAACAGCTGCCCGGGTAGGATGCCCCTCCGGTAGGACCCCTGCGCAGCTCAGCCTGCACGTCCCTGGAGTCCCCAAGAAGCCGGGGCCCCTTGAGGGGGTCGCTGTGCACCCCCTCAATGGAGACCTGGGCCTCCATCTCCAGGCCCAGCTGGCACAGACCTAAAGTGGGGGGTGGTGGAATGTTTGGGTTGGGGCCACACCAGCGTGCTCAGGGCGCACTTCTGGCTCTGCACTCTTGGCTGTGCTGGGGGGACCATATGGGGTTCTGGGGGTTGAACCTGTTGGCCACATGCAGGGCAGACGCCCTCCCCACTTACCATCGGGCCCCAGCGTGCACTGTTACTTCCAGCGCACAGCCCATGCCAGGCAGGGGTTCCACACTCCTGAACCGGAAGCCCTGACGGTACTGAACAGAGCAGAGCTTCCTGCAGGGCTCCAAACCCGCCTTCTCAGGAGGCCCCAGAAGCCACTGGAGGCAGCCGGTGACCCCACGGTGCCCACGGCTGCCTGCAGAAGTGGCCCGGGTGCTGTGGCCCCCAGCCTTGGGGCACTTCCTGAGCCCAGAGCAGCGGCCTGTGCCCCTCCGTGCTTCACCAGAGTCGCCCACGGCCCTGGGACCTGCCACGTCTTCCCTGAGCGCCCAGTCCAACTCGAAACTTAGGGGAGTTTCCTCCCAGTGCATACCCGGCAATATGTAGGGGTGTGTGTGCCCATACACGCCATGTGTGCCTGTGTGCTCACATGGCCATACACCCGTGTGCACGCGTACATATGTGCACATGTGCCCATACACATCCGCGTGTACATGTGTGTGTGCCCACACCCATGAGGGTCAAGCCGCGGGGCCCATGTGACTTCGGGACATCCCTCTAATGCCGAATGGAGGCCACCCTGAGTCAGACCTCAGACTGTGAGTAAACCCGGGGCTGGAGCACTGCAACCCGAGTCAGAGGGTGAGTCCCAGGTCAGGAACACCACATCCCGGGTCTTGAGATGCGGGTGTCAGGAGTGTCGCATCTGATGCCTCAGTGTGGAACTGGACACCAGACTCCCGGGAGGGTGCCAGGCGCTGCCCCGTCTGCGGCGTTGGGTGTTGCGGCCCCTCCGGGCGGTGGCAACATTTGCTGTCGCCGGCCCTGTCCCAGCAGCCGGGCCTCAGGGCTATTGGCAGCTTCCCAAACTGGGGGCCCCCACGGGGCTAACGTCAGGAAACTGCTTACATGTGCTTTCTGTTGGGACAACAATATAAAGAGAATTTGCTTCGTGCCTGCTAAGGGCGCAGGCGTGGGGCTGGGAGGGAGACAGGCATGGGTGCCGGAACATGCGTGCCTGGAACAGCTGTATGTGAACAACTGTCGGTTTTCACGAAATAACTAAAGGAGGCCAAGAGGGGTGAGTTGGCCTCGCGCCCCGCCACCAGGCATTGCCCCCTTTTTCCCCACTTGGTTTGTTTTTGGGCCACACAGTGGTGCTCAGGAATTACTCCTGGCAGTGCTCAAGGGCCCAGGTGCCAGAGATGGAACAGGGTCAGCTGCGTGCAAGGCCAGTACCCTACCATGGCCCCACCCCACCCAACTGGCTTACTCTGGACAGGGCTCAGGGGACCCATGAGAGGCCAGAGACCCAGAGCACTTCACCCAGTGTAATCTTCAGCGCACCCCCCCCTTCCAGGTTATGAGTGAATGTTTTATTTGCACAGCTATTTCCTATGCCTGGGGACCAGAGGGTGGAAGCAGAGTATGTCTAGAGGCAGGCTGTGTAAACACAAAAGGGGTGTGGAGCCGCCCACGTTCAGTAGTCTCTGGGCCGCAGTGGCGATGGGCAGGTGAAGGAAGGAACCGAGGGCCAGGCTGGTTGGTGTCCGTTGCAGTTTATTCCATTCCCATCTCCATTCTCCTGATTCTCCTCCTGCTTCTTCCTCCCCCAGGCTACTTCATTGTCCTCCTCGGATCTCCCTTCATTCTCCGTCTGGCTCTGGATCCTGAACCCCCAGCCCACTCTTAGTGCCTTGCTAAATTCTCCCCTCCCACCCCGCATAAGAGGTTGAAGCTTACACATAGGTGTGGTCACAACCAATAGGGGTAAAGTTCTCTCCCTCAGGGGGTACTTCTAGGACAGATACTCTCTCAGCAGGACGACCCACCCAAGAGCGGAATCCCGTGGGTGTTTCGCCTCTCCTTGTCCAACAGAAATATAAGCATTCATAAAATATTAATTTGATATGGACGCAGTAAGAGATGCACTAAGCTTATAGAATTGCTTTCCTGGGCTCATCTCTATCTCAGACTACAGTGCTCAGGCCAGATTAGTCTTTCCTATCCCCAGCAGGGTCCTAGTCTCGTCGCAACTTTTGTATCATGACAGCATTTGTCCATGATCAAGCTCTTAACTTAGAGTTAAGAATTGTGGCACTTTGGCGTGGCCCATTTCGATGCAGGGTAGCTCACAGCTTGCCCTGGGTCCATTCAGTGCCCCGTCGGGTCCCTGCTTTTGGGGTGCTAGGAACTAAGGGTAACCGAGGCTTAAGTCAAGAAAGCAGATGCCCGAGAGTGAATAATGCTCGAAACCAATTAGATCCTAAGTTACAAAAGCGTAATATTAACTGTCCTCCTGTATCTATACAAAAAAGAAATTGCTTTAAAGTAAACAATTCAAAAGATGTAAGGAGAGGAGAAGGACAATATACAACTTACAAGTTCCCTGTCCTAGAAGGATCTGACCTTACAAATTAACAGATTCTGATTAGGGGGAAAAGCTGATTAACTGGTTGGGAAGAGAGCATAGAAGTGGTTACAGGTAAACAAAGGAATGGGAGTGACTTGGGAGCACTCTGATGGGTGTAACCTGATAAACCTAGGCTCCCTGTGGCAAGGGAGAAAGGACAAATCAATTGTTACCCTACAGCCAGCAGGTGAGGGGCAGGAGGTGGTGGGAGGTGCCCATTGGTCAAGGGGCAGATGCCGGAACATTGTATGACTGTGAATAGCTTGGTAACTGCATCTCACAGTGATTCAAACATGTTTTTAAACAATTCCCCACGTTTTGTTCATTTGGGGCCATACCCAGTGGTGCTCAGGTGTCGCCCTCCCCATCTGCCAGCCTGTGGATGTGGAGGTTCTGGGGTACGGGTGGGAGAGCCCGCCCCCCACCCCCCCACTTCTCGGCAGACGCTCCCTGTCACCGTTCCCCCGCGCAGACGTGCAAGAAGGACGCGCCGACGACAAGTTCAAGTATTCTTTATTCAAAGTTGAAAAAAGTACCACGCTGCATTATTGCAAAAAATTCACTTGGTACAAAACACTTTGCAGCTGGTTGAGAAGGCAATAAAAAGTTGATTTGAAAACTCATCACTATAAATTATTCTTACAGTACTTTGTCAATTTCAGAATTTCAAACTGCATTTTCTACAGTACTCGAGGTTCCTGAAGCTAAGGCAGCTGTTCCGGAAAGGAGGGGAGGTAGCTGGCGTCAAGGCATCTCCATCTCTCTCTCGATGCCCACGTACTTGAGCGCGTCTGCCTGGCTGTATCTGCGGCGGGAGGAGGAGGGCGCTCAGGGCCCGGCCCGCGGCGGCCGAGGACCCAGCGGGGACAGCCCGCGCCCCCCAGCCCCGCGCCCCCCACCTGTAATCGAAGAAGAGCTCCTCGCCGGTCTGGATGGCTCTCTTGGCGAAGATCCCAATCCTGTGGTCGCCGTTGACCATCATGACTGCGGGGAGACAGGGGTGAGCGGCCGCGGGCAGAAGGGAGCAGGGTCAGGGAACCCCGGGCCGGGCACCCACCTTTTGCATAGCAGTTGGGATTCACTGAATGATTCGCAAAACGGATTTTGTTCCCCTTGCGGGTTGCATCCACCACAAAATCTAAGGGGAGAGAAAAGTCAGTGAGCGACTCCGGCAGCCGCGGCGTTAATTCTGAAAGCAGGAGGGGAGCCACGGAACAGGGCCAACTCCCGGCATCCCGCGCGGTCCCCTGGGCATGCAAAGCTAAGACCACCAGGCTCCATCCTTCGGGGTCTTGGCCTCCGAAACTCATCAGCCAGCTTCAGCACCAAGGGACAGGCTGAATGAACCACGGCCACGCTCTGCCCGGCCAAGGCCATCCTGCAGGTCGGGTCTCTGGATCATACCACCCGCGAGCGCAGGGCCCAGGACCCCCCGCATGGACCACGCCGGGGGCTGCCCCGGAGTACCGCACTCCGGCCCCTCACGCACCGTTGTTCAAGTTGAAGAGAAAGCTGCACATGTACTTGTCATAGACTTTCCCTCTTCGGTCCGCTTCGTCTTGAGAAATAATCTGAGACGCAGACAGAGAGACAGTGGCGGAGCCGGCTCAGCCCAGCGGGAAACACACGCACACCGCCAGGAACTGGGGGGCCAGGGGTCTTTCCGCCCCGCGCTGCACGGTGAGGCGGCAGAGGGTGACTCTTGGGGCTCAGCTCAGTGGGTTTTACTGAGCTCGTCCCAGGCTGAAGGTGGCAGCGCGTGCACTGTGGGGCTACCCGAGCCCTCACGCAGCTCAACCCAACCCAGAGGACACGCCAGGGAAAGGACCCGAGACCAAGGGCACCTGCCCCGGCGGCACGAGAGGCCGCGGCCACGCGCCGCGTCCCCTAAGTGGTCACTCCGCCCTTACCTCTCCACAGTATTCTGAGATGAATTCGTTTTTCTGAACAGGATCTTTGATGAAAATGCCCCAGCCGGCCACGTCTGAGGGCGCCAGCAATAGATGCTGCCGAGGAAAAACAAACGCTAAACTGAAAAGGATGCGAGAGGCCTGTGGGCGGAGTCGCCGTGAAGCCTCCAGCCAAGAAGAGCACAGCTGAGAACCGCCCCCACAGCGGGGTCTGGTGTCTCCGGGCCTGACCCCTCGAGGAGGTGCCCAGGGTCGTTTCCCGACAAAACCCCAGGTGCCCGTAGGGGCCCACTGCCCTTCCCTGGGCCAGCCAGTGCCCTGTGACGTAGAGGGCTTTTGAGGGTGGTCCCTCAGGGTGAGGGAGAGTGGGTGGGGGTGGGAGCCCTCACTGAGGTCCTTCCATGGACCCAACAGTGCTCGGCATCTGCTCACAGCGGGCAGTCCCCGGGCACTGGAGGTGTGGGCCCAAACCAAACACAAGAGGCTCATCACCCACCTACAGACCCGGCGGGTCTGCTCGGTCACCAGCACCACTGGGTGCTGGTTCCCGGTCTGCCCCGCGGCTCCTGGCTGGCCTGTTTCCACAGTTACTCAACAAAAGAGCTACAGAGCAGAATCAGCGCCAGAATGGGTCCCTCCTGCTGCCACACCCGCCAACCCCCAGGAACACGGCAGCCCAGAGGGCTGCCACCGGCTCCCTCCACTACAGAACTTCTGGGACACATCTGAGCCCTGACCGAGGGTACCGCGGGCAGCCTGCAAGGGGCCCTGCACTCAGCCGGGAGATAGCGCCCGCTCCAGCCTGGCCTGGGGCCCTGCACACAGCCAGGAGACAGCACCTGCCCTGGCCTGGCCAGGGGCTCTGCACACAGCCGGGACAGCCGGGAGCCCGCCCTGCCGCCCACCTTCTTGGAGCCACGCTGGATACTGCAGTTCTTGCAGGACACATTCTTGCTGTCCCAGTGGTCGGCGGCGCCGCAGGTGAGGCACAGGTCGGGGTCGCACTCCCGGACAGCCAGGTAGCAGGGGCACTGCTTGGTGTTGCACTGGGCTTTGCAGCGGCAGCCGGGAAAGCGGTTCTGGCCTGGGGAGAGAGAGAGAGACACGGAGAGGAGTGCGGGGACGCCCCGGGCTTCACGGCATTCCCTCCCGCCACAGCCGTCCCCGCTGGCTCCATCCCCGAGTCCGAGCGAGGCTGCGCCTGCCAGATCCCCCGCCCGGTGGCCGAGCTGGACCCTCGGCAGAGACCCACCGGGCCACTCCCCGGCGCCGACTTACACTCGGAGCTGCACTGGCAGAACTTCTCGCAGAAGTTCTGGGCGATGACGCAGGGGCACGAGCTGTCGCAGGGCTGCCGGGGGTGGTCGCAGGGCTGGTAGTTGTAAACGTGGTTGGAGGAACCATCTGCGGGAGGAACCGGGTCAGGCTCGGCCCACGGCCCCTGCAGCAGCCTGGGGCGGGCGGGCGGGGTGAGGGGGCGTGGCAACGGCGGGTGGGCGTGGCGAGCGCGATGGGCGTGGTGGTGGAAGGGTGGGCGGGGCGAGTGCGATGGGCAAGGTGAGTGCACTGGCGAGTGCGAGGGGCGGGGCAAGGCAAATGGGAGGGGCAGGGGTGGGCGTGGCGAGTGAGGGGGTGGGGCGAGTGCGATGGGCGGGGCGGGTGAGTGCGAGGGGCGGGGCAAGGGCGAGTGGGGAGGTGCGAGTGCGGTGGGCGGGGCAAGGGGCGGGGTGATGAGCGGACAGGGCGGGGCGAGTGTGATGGGCGGGGCGTGTGAGCAGGCCAAGGGCCGAGGGGGCGGAGCGATGGAAGGGGTGGGCGTGGATAGGGGGCGGGGCAAGGGCGGATGGGGAGGGGCGAGTGTTGTGGGCGGGGCTATGGGCGGGGCTATGGGCGGGGCGAGGCCGGGGCAAGGGGGCGGGCGCTCACCCTTCTTCAGCTGGATCTTCCTGCAGTGAGCGGCCCACAGCCTGCAGGAGACAGACAGACGACCCCTCAGGACTGGAATCGGGGCCCAGGGTTCCCCACCCCACCCCCTGGGAGCAGGACGCCCACCCACGGCCCAGCCTGCCCGGCACGACTCTGGGTCCGCGGCACGGAGCACGGGGCAGGGCACCCACGCGGGAGGCACCGCAGGCAGCACGCGGAACCGACCCCTCCCGGGTTCCCAGAAACTGCAGAGCTGCCGGCGCCTCCGGGCTCCAAAGACCCCTCTGCCCCCGCTGCCCCCTGCTGCCTGCCCGGCCGCTCACCGGTGTTTCCTCTTCTTCTTCCGTGGAGGCGTGTCCACGTCCTCGGCGGGCGCGGGAGCGATGATGCTGGACTCCTTGACTCGAAACTCATAGACCTGGCGAGGGGACCGGAGCTCACCCACGGAAGCACCCGGGACCACCCAGCCCCCGGCCGGCCAACCGGCCCATTCCACGCAGCTGACCATACTAATTGCTCACTCCCTCTCGGACCCAGAAATGAGCCCTGGCCTGGGTGAAGCACAGCTGCCGAGAGCCCAGAGTCCCCCCAGGGACCCCAGGTGAACCACCCCCCCCAGCGGTGCAATCCCCCCCAGGGACCCCAGGTGAGCCCCCCAACAGTGCTCTACCCGCGGGGATCCTAGCTGAGACCCCCCCCCCACGCTCTCCCCACAGGAACCCCCTGCTCCCACAGGCGGGGCAGCGCTCACCTGGCGACAGGTCTTGGTCCCAATCAGCCTGGCGATGGCGCAGAAGTTGTCGTAGTAGGTGCCGATGAGCACGCGGAACATGGAGGCCTCGGCCCCGCTCCACTCCACGTTCTCGGGGGGCTCGATGTTGGGCTTCATCTTGATGGGCGTCTGGCAGCGGGAATTGGCCTCTGCAGGGGGGAGTCGGCACCGGTCAAGGCTGATGCCGGGCCGATGCTGGGGCGGAGAGAAGGCCAGCGGGGATCCCTGGGCCCGGTGGATGCGCCCCCAAGACCGTGGGGGGAGACTCCCCATGCCAGGTTGGGGACAGCCAGACGCCGCCACTCAGCACTGAACCGCCCCTGCCCAGCCGCCCACGACTCAGGACACGCAGAGGACCCTGCATACCCTTCTGAGAAGTGACCACCCCCCCCAGGGACGGTGACTGCAATGGAACCCAGAGGCCGGTGGGCAGCGCCAGCAACACCAGGCCCAGGGGCCCTGGACGGCGGGGTCCCGCCCCCCACCCCCAGGGCCTCACCGGACGAGCTGGACGTCTCGTCCTTCTTCTCCTCCTCCTCCTTGTCGTTGCTCTCCCCGCCCGTCTCGGCGCCCGCCTCCCGGTCACTGTCGGTGTCCTTGGACTCCAGCACGCTGATGGTGGGCGTGCTGGGCCGGCTGCTGGCGTTGGGCAGCCGTCCCCTCCGGCGGCCTCCGGGCCGCTTGGGCGGCGTCTTGATGCGCTCGGCAGTGAGGGCCGCGGCGAACTCCTTGGCTCCCTCCTGCGAGGGAAAGAAGGGCAGCGTCGAGTCGAGGCCGCGCGGGATGGGGACGCCGGCCGGGACGGCCGTCCCCACATCAAGCGCGTTTGTGGCCGCCGGCCAGGGAAGGGGACGCAGCTCCCGTGACGGCGCGGGGCCCACGGTGAGCCGCAAGATGCTGCGTTTGCTCGCCAGCACAGAGTGGGGACGTGACACATGACACGTGGTGCGACTCAGAGTCTCCCGGGCAGGGCGGGACGTCGCCAGCCCCTCGGCGACCTCGGGGGGCCGAGTGGCCTCCCTCAGAGGAGTGGATCTTTACAAAAAGCCAGTGACCAGATGGGCCTGGATGGGTGGACTCGGCTCTACAGTGGCTCAAGCGACCACCCCCAGTGGCGGCGGCAGAGGTGACACGGGCCGCCCACAGCCGCCCAGGGCTGTCCGTGTGCGCGGGGCGGCCCCGCCCTGAGCCGGGCAGTCGGGCCGGGGTGAGAGCGGGGAGGGGCCCAGACCCTGGCCGAGGAGCAGCGGCCAACAGTGCGCTCGGGGCCTCTGCGGGCGGGAGGGACGGGGTGAGAGCAGCCGACAGCTTAGCCTCCGTTCTACAGAAACCAAAGTGCGTAAAGAGGATACCTTCCGCAGCTGCATTCACTGATCTTCTGTCCAAAATCCAACAGGCAATATCTACCCATTTAGTTCCTAGGTACGAGTGGCTTGGTTCAAAGAGGGGAAACGGTAAAAATAAGATAGTAGCCGTGAAAAGCCGCTTCTCTACCTGACGCTAGCTAAGCCCTTTCCTGCACTCGGTCGCGAGCAGGTGGGGCCTAGTGAGCTGCCCAGAGGGCAGGCTGGGGGGCGGGGCGGGGCGGGGGAGCCATGGGCCGGGCCCCCCTGGACGAGCCGCAGAGCAGAGCGGGGGACGGGGCTAGATGAGGACCCTCTGCTAGGGGGCGCGGGCAGCTCTGCCGGGACGGGTCCCCCTCGGGCGCAGGCCCCCGGCTTACCAGGTGCTGGTAGCACTGGGGCCCACAGGCCTTGTTGTCCAGCGCGGTTTCCGTGTTCTTGCGCTTGTAGGTGTTGGGCGTGGCGTGGAAGGCTGCAACAGAAGCGACAGGTCACTAAACACGACCGGGACGACGGCAGATACTTTCCCAGTCTCCGAGAGCCGGGGAAAAGCGCACGAACACTGGCCACATCCAGAACTTTCCCTTTGTGCTTCCGGAAGCATCACACCACCTACCCCCAATCAGAGAAACGGCAAATGCTACTGAGATTTGGTCTGGTCTTGACAAGGTGATGGATGCACAGAAACACAGAAACGTGGCTAGAAAACGTTCTTCAGACGGGGCCTTTGCTGTCACCCCAGGATCCACGCGTGGCCCCCACCAGTCAGACCGCCTGCTCTCATGAGAAGGGTCCTACAGAGCTACAGTGTCCTGTTGGCTGCAGAGGTTAGAAATCACCACGCCAGGCACTGAAGCGACAGCACAGTGAGGAGGACGTTTGCCTTGCACGTGGCCGGACCTGAGTTCCTGAGCACCGCCAGGAGTAATTCCTGAGTGCACAGCCAGGAGTAACCCCTGAGCATCACCCAAGATGCAAGAAGAAAAAAGAAATCGCCGTGCTGGATAGAGAGCCCAGTGGGAAGGACGCTGGCCGTGCACGGCAGACCCAGATCCCACCATGCTGGCTCCCCATGTGGCCCCCGAGCAACGCCAGGGGTGACTCCTGAGAGCTACTGGGTGTGGCCCCAAAACAAGAACAACCGAATCACACTTGGTGGGTGGAGAGACAGTGGCAGGGGAACGTCTGCCTGGCACACAGCTGACCCTACTTGATCCTGGACACCCCACATGGCCCTGAGCGCCGCCAGGAGTGATCCCTGAGTGCAGAGCCCGGAATAAGCCCCAAGCACTGCAGGATGGGACCCAAAACACAAACCAGACCCTCACTTAAATTACAAAGAAACGCAGCCTGAGAGTCGAGGGTACAGACACTTGCCCTGCCCGGTGCTGGCACCATATAGTACCACCCTCCCCCGCCCCCTGGGGTGGCCCTGAACACAGCTAGGTGTGACCCTCACCTGCCCCCAACCCCCCACCTAGATGGCTCTTACTCAGAACCAGACTAACAGGACACTCCATTATTTTGCTTGAAGGAAAAATCAACATACGCTGTCCAAAGGCACCTTTAAAGTCTGAAAGTACTTTTACTTATCTCATCAACAGCCAAGATCCAGAGACTATAAAAAAAAGCTCCCGGGAGAGAGCAGTGCAGTATCACCTGGAGTGCGCGGCCACATTCGTGGCCACCCGACCTCTTATACTCCAGCCCACCGATATACCTCAAGTAGCAGACATTGGTTTGGTTTTTACATACTTGCTTGTATTCTCTTAAATATGGGCTTAAATGGCTCCAGAATGAAATTCAACCTTCACACACCTCCCTCTTATTGTGGTGGGAAGATGCTCGCTGGTGAAGTGGGTGTTTGAATATGATCTGCAATGAACTATTGTGACTACTTTATGAAAATAAAAGGTATAAAAATAGCAAGAAAAAAAAGTACTTTTTTAGACATGCTATGTCCAATATCAGCCACAGACTCACCAATGTGAGTCTCCCACCAAAAGCGTCCTTAATCCCACACTGCACTAATGAAAAAACTTATGACTGAGGTTCCAGTCAGCAAAACACAAAACATGCTGACTATTGTAGAGTCCCAGAATAAGGGACCTAAGGCTTAAGTAGGTATTAGAAAACATTATCTGAAACACATTATCAATCTATTTCAAGTTTAATAAGTAAGAAGGTTGGAGAAAATCCCTATAGCATCCTATAGGGTCCCCCGAGCACCACCAGGAGTAATTCCTGAGCACAGAGCCAGGAGTAACCCCTGTGCATCGCCGGGTGTGACCCAAAAAGCAAAGACAAAATAAAATTTTGCCCATCAGTGTCGGCAAAATTCTGCACTGGGTCCAGCGTGTTCTCATTTATGAAATGGGCTAATCAGAATCATGGGGGGAAATCCTGACCCCTCACCCAAGCAGCAGGAGAGAGAGACACATCTCTCTCTCTCCCTCTCTCCCTCTCTCTCTCTCTCTCTCTCTCTCTCTCACACACACACACACACACACACACACGCCTGCCTCAAGCAACAAATTGCAGATGCCAACCCCGAAGCTCTGATCCCTGCCTGTGTTGTGATCTGACCTAAAACAATTGACTCAACTCAGCCATGGATCCTGCCCGTAAAAACCGCCACCCCGGGAGAGCGGCGGGCCGCACTTACGATGCAGGAAGCAGTCGTACTTAAAACAGCGCCTACAGAAAAGCGTGTGGAACGAGTGCAGGCTCTGCTCCCGCTGAACGGATCTGGCGTTGGGCCCATCGATGTTCGGGGTGCACTCGGGGGGCAGGGCCCCCGGCAGCTGCTGCTCTGTGAGCTCCTTGTACCTGGCAGTGACCGAGAACAGGGTGCGTCAGGCAAGGCAGAACAGTCCCTGAAAGTCAAGTTTCTCGAAGGCTTTGCTGGACGTATCTGTCCTCAAACATAGAAGATCACAATTTTCAGGGCACAGTGGGTAGGGCATTTGCCTTGCGCTCGGCCGACCCGGGTTCAATTCCCAGCATCCCATAGGGTCCCCTGAGCACCGTCAGGAGTAATTCCTGAGTGCAGAGCCAGGAGTCACTCCTGAGCATCTCTGGGTAAGACCCAAAAAGCAAAAAGAAATCACAATTCTCATTTACATGAGCCATTAAGCATGGCACGTGGCCAATCAATTCTGGCTCTAATTCAGATATATTATGAATATCATCTAGTTTAGGTGACCTCCACTGAGCTGAGATTCCTAAGACGGCTCAGAGAGATTTTCTCGGATGTCACTGCAAACACATGTTATCTTCTCTAGCAGCTGCTTTTCAGAGTACAAAACCCCACCTGCACACCCAGGGCTTCGATACCTGGTGTTAGATGAAACAAAACCAACTTCCATTCTTACTATGTCTGGGGCCGCTTGGCCCTGGAAAAAAACAACTCAGAAGAACAATTCTTACTTTTCTTTGAGTTCTTCTGCTGTGCCTTTATCTGGAAACATTGAGGAAATGGCTTCAAAAATTTTATCCGAAGGAAATTTCCGAGGGGGGCGGCTTTCTTTATCTAAACAAGCAAAGACAAAGGTGAATTTTGGGGGGCTGGAGCGATAGCACAGCGAGTAGGGCGTTTGCCTTGCACGCGGCCGATTCCCGGGTTCGATCCCCAGCATCCCATATGGTCCCCCGAGCACCACCAGGAGTGATTCCTGAGTGCATGAGCCAGGAGTAACCCCTTGCATTACCGGGTGTGACCCCCCCCCAAAAAAAAAAGCAAAGGTGAGTTTTGAAGAATGCAAGTAAACAAGCCCCGAGTCCCTTTTCTTCGGGCGGCAAATCCAAAGAACAGCTCCCTCCCATCGCAGAAACCAGCTCTGCGTTCCCTGGGGTCCCCCCGCACCGCATCTCAAGGCCACGGGCCCGTCCGCACCGGGGCTTGGGGCGGCCACCCGTCGAGCTCACGTACCCGCGCGGCTCTCCTCCAGCGCCTTCTGCTTGTCCTCTCTTTCATCGGGCTCGTCTCCGTCGTCGTCCTCCTCCTCATCGTCGTCATTGTACTGACTGAGCGCGTTCACCAGCTCCACGAAAATCTCATCGTTTATAAACCCACATTCTGAAATGCATCAAGTCAGACACTGTCAACATGAGACGCGTCTGTACAGGAATGCCACGTGGCAGAACGGACAGCCGTCGGGGCTGGGCCTCCTCACTCACGGACCAGCGGGAGGGGCCATGTTCAGGGGGCCCGAGCAGGGCCGACCCCCAACTCCTTCCATTTCTCTCCGACCACTGCGGCCTCAGTATCCCTCCAAACCAGGGAAGTATATACCTCGGTCTTTCTCATCAAAGGACAATCCCCCATCCGTTGTTCTCCACAAATAATGTTTTCAAAGGATTTCCAATCCCTGGGCTGGAGTGATGGCACAGTGGGTAGGGCGTTTGCCTTGCACGCGGCCGACCTGGCCAACCCGAGTTCGATTCCTCCGCCCCTCTCGGAGAGCCCGACAAGCTCCCAGGAGTATCTCGCCTGCACAGCAAAGCCTGGCAAGCTCCCCGTGACATATTCGATATGCCAAACACAGTAACAAGTGTCACGATGGAGACGTTACTGGGCCCGCTCGAGCAACTGGATGAACAACGGGAGGACAGTGACAGTGACAGTCCCAATCCCTAGATTGTGCTGGATTCTGAGGCATTTTCTATGACCAGGAGTTTTCAACGGGCCAGCAAATCACAACAAATGCCAAGCCTGGCTTCAGTACTGTTTCGGCTGGACGTGCAGTCTCTCCCGGGGGCCAGGGCGAGAGGGGAACACGCCAGACACTGCCCTGCACGCGCTGACCGGGGCTTGATCCCCAGTACCCAAAATGCTTTCTGAGAACCATCAGGGGTAACTGCTGAGCACAGAGTAGGCCCGGAGGACATCTGGGGTGATCCAAAAACAAGAAAAAGATCCAAACACAGGAACTGTGATTCCAGTCAGGACTTCAGGTGCGACAGGAAGCGTTATTTTTTAAGCATAAAGGCTTTGAGGGCCCAAACGGAACTAAGGTTACTCCCAAAAATAATCACCATGGAGCCGGAGGACACACAGCGGGGAGGGCGCTGGCCATGCACACAGCCCACTCTGGTTCAATCCCAACATCACTCTGTCCCAATTCCTAAGTGAAGAGCCAAGGATAGCCCCTGGACATCGCTGGGTGAGACCCCTCTCAAAAAAAAAAAAAAGGGAAAAATAGATCATTAAAAATTTAATGACTTGGGGCTGGAGCAATAGCACAGCGGGTAGGGTGTTTGTAGGACGTTTGCCCTGCATGCGGCCGACCCGGGTTCTATTCCCAGCACCCCATATGGTCCCCTGAGCACCCCCAGGAGTAATTCCTGAGTGCATGAGCCAGGAGTAATCCCTGTGCACCACTGGATGTGACCCCAAAAGCAAAAAAAAAATAATAAAAAATAAATAAAAATGTAATGAAAAATAATAAGCTAATAAATTTTAAAATAAATTAATAATAAATAATAAACAGAAAACAAAAACTGGGGGGGGGGGGGAATCCGCATGCATTAAAAAATTTTGTTTGGATTGAAAATTAAAAGCTCTTGGGACCAGGGGCTGGAGCAATAGCACAGCGGGGAGGGCGTTTGCCTTGCACGTGGCCAATCTGGGTTCAATTCCCAACATCCCATATGGTCCCCCGAGCACCGTCAGGAGTGATTCCTGAGTGAAGAGCCAGAAGTAACCCCTGAGCATCGCTGTGTGACCCAAAAAGCAAAAAAAAAAAAAAAAAAAAAGCTCTTGAGGCCAGAAGGATAGTACAATGGGGAGGGCATCAGCCTCACATGTTTGATCCCTGGCATCCGATATGGTCCCCTGAGCAGGAGTGACCCTGAGCATCACTGGTGTGGCACAGAAACAGAGGACTGAAAGCTCTGATAAGGTCTGCAGACATGCGAAAGGGCCAGGCCCCCATCGGGCCACGGGCCCTGCGGGGAGTCACTCGGCACAAAACACAAGAGAAGGTAGAAACAAGTTCCCCAAGTGGCCATTTTTTCTAACCAACCACACGGAGTTCTCCGGCAGCTGCACAATTCTCCGATTCACGGAGGCCCGGGGCAGCGGGCAAACCCCGCTCTCTTGAAAGGGCACGCTGCCCACGGCAGGCCCGAGGCTGAGGCCACCGCAGCCCAGAGCCCAACACACGCCTCACGCTGACATCTGGCCCCCTCTTCAGACAAGAAAACAAACATGCAGCTCACCTCGATCCCCGTGTACTTTTCCATCGTAATTTTTGATTAGTTCTTCAATGAAAGTTCCGTCCTGGTCTAAAACTTCATCCCCCATGTAAGGAATATTATGTAAAACAGTTTCATCTTCGACCTAAAGTTTTAAAAATATTAAACAACGCAGGATTAGCCGAGGGACCACAGTATTTCTTTTTTTTTTTTTCTTTTTGGGTCACACCCAGCGATGCTCAGGGGTTATTCCTGGCTCTGCACTCAGGAATTATTCCTGGCGGTGCTTGGGGGACCGTATGGGATGCCGGGAATTGAACCCAGGTCGGCCGCGTGCAAGGCAAACACCCTACCCGCTATGCTATCACTCCGGCCCCACCACAGTATTTCTCAATCAACATAATATAAATAAAATGTTTTCCTGAAGCAGATGCTTCTGTGGCCAGACAGATAGTACAGTGGGGCGGGCGTCTGCCGAGTTGGGTCCCTGACATCCCATATGGCCCCCAAGCACCCATGAGCATCGCTGGGTGTGACCCCAAAGGAAAAGTAAGTGTTTCTGCTCTGTCTAAATTACAGGCAGGAACTCTCCAGGTGAGAGAGAAAAAGCTTCTCTCTCCCAGGAACTCTATGAGAAAATCTGGAGGGCACCAGGCTTGGTGACGGATCACTAATCTGACAGGCAGAGGTCACCTCCAGAGGTCACCCCTGAGCACACCAGCATGACAGACCTTCCAGAACTGCCAGCAACGCTCACAAATTACTCCTGGCAGAGCTCGGGGAACCATACAGGGTTAGCGGGGATCAAACCCAGGTCAGCTGTGTGCAAGGCAAGTACCCTACCCACTCCGCTACCTCTCTGGCCCTTAAATTAAAAAAAAAAAAAAAAAAAAAAAGAACCCTACCTATTACACGAGAAATTGCGAAATCTCACTAGACAACTGAATTATCAAAACATAATCAACATAATAAAATTCTAGGGCGCCTCCAATGGTCTGGTTACAGTTTATACCAAACGAATTTAGCATCGAGCACAAAAGAGTAACAGTCTCCACGAACAAGTGATTTCCAGACAGACAGAGCCTATCAATGTGCGTAAGGCCAGCTCCGGGAGAGGAGGGGCTCAGACCCCAGCCTCCGAGGGCACCGGAGAGAAAGGGAGGCCGGGGCAGGGCTGAGGGGCTGGAGCCAGGCAGAGCCCTGAGCTCGGTCCCCTGAGCACTGCCTGTGATGCACCCCCCCCCAAAAAAAAAAAACCTCAACAAAGAGTAAAAGGAACACAAAAAGTCATTGGTGGGAGGCAGAAATTCTTCACTAAAAAGGGTCAGAGAGATAGTATAGTGGGTAGAGCCAAAGAAAAACACAAAGGTTCAAAAAATAAAGAAATCCCTATCCGGGGGCTGGAGCAATAGCACAGCGGGTGGGGCGTTTGCCTTGCACGCGGCCAGCCCAGGTTCGATTCCCAGCATCCCATATGGTCCCCCGAGCACCGCCAGGGGTGATTCCTGAGTGCAGAGCCAGGAGGAACCCCTGAGCATTGCTGGGTGTGACCCAAAAAGCAAAAAGCAAAAAAAAAAAAGAAAGAAATCTCTATCCAAGTTTCTTAAGGAAACCACTTGGGACCGTGTGACAGTACAGCGGGGAGGGCCGTGACTTGTCCGCAGTCGACCTGGTACGAGCCCCAGATCCCAGAGGGTCCCCTGAGCCTGCCACGGGTGACCCCTAAAGGCAGAGCCCAAAGTCCTGAGCCCTGCTGAGTGTGGCCCCCAAAAGCTTAGCAGTGAGAGCTGACGCAGTCCGAAACAGGTATGTAAGGAGACCACCGGGAGGAAGGAAGGCCCGATCGAGCAGGGCCCCGGGGGGAAACAGCCTGTGGGGACAAGTGACAGACGGGAGGTTCATGAGGTGTCTGGCCGGGACCACCGGGTTAGCCCCGACGGCACACCACCCCCACCGAGGGGGAAGAAAACATGCCAGTGAGGCACAAAACTAAAATCTACACTCGAAAGAACCGACCTCTTCGGATTCAGGCTCCCTCACAAGCGAACAGCTCTGGTGTCTCACGAGCTCCACTTCGAAGATCCAGGGTGGACTTATGAGGAAGAAACTGAAACTCGGTGACGGTTTGGGTATTTTCTGTTCCAAACTGTATCCACACAAACTCTGCTTCACAAAACACTTCCTAGGCCTAACAGAGACGGTCTGAGGGGTGACAGGGAGACGGGGTGGGGGGTGGGGGGTGGGGGGCCCCACTGTTCAGCCCCCAGAAGGCCGCTCCCTGAGCAGTGACCCAAGATCCTGGAGTCAGGTAGCGCCCGGCGTAGCCCAAAAGTCCAAAATAAACTAATAACAAAAGCCGTCTGCCAAATGTGCCTTCATCAGTGACCAGTAAGATGCATGAGTATTTCTTAATGATCTTTGACAACACCAAACAGTTTCCTTTCAAAACTAGCATAAGTTCTTATACTACGGTTCTCTAAATGCCTGGGTCAAGACTTAAAAACGCACAGTGCTTTGCAGTTACAAAATATTTGAGGTCTGCCTTTTGAAGACTCCACAAATGACCTAAGGAACAACTGTGGACTTTCATGGCCTCTAGCAGTGCTGGGGTGCAAGGGTCACTCAGCTCGGAGACACCCACCTGATCCCCTGAACACCAGCAGGAGGGACTCCATGTGCGCGCACACACACATACACACACACACACACACACACACACACACACACACACACACGGAAAAAAGTAAATCCAGGTGACAAGGAAAATAAAGACTGGCGCAGAACTCAGTAAAATGGAGGAGAGAACAGAGATAAGTCAAGAAGTCAGAAGAAAAACCAGATAAAACCATCGCGTAGCGAACAAGTTACTAGTGGAAGGCAGACGGGAAGACCGAGGTGTCAAAGCAGGCAGAGCAAGCCAGCAGGACACAAAGTCAAAAGATTCAGCATGACCAGTCACAGGAGCAAGCGGGGAGGGACAAAAAGCATGTTACATTAGCACCAGAAAAGAAACAGTACTTTGGGACCAAGGTACCAAGGAGATAAAATACTTGTACAGGGAAAACCACAAAGGTGAAGGGTGGGAGGTAAGGTTGGGGGAGGGAGGGAGGGAGGGAGGGAGGGAGGGAAGTAAACAATCCCAGAGTGAAGAATGGAGTGATTAAGTCAAGGGCAGTATATCCAGTGCGATCCACACAGAAGCGACGTGAGTCTATCCAAATTCCAAAGCAACTTTAACAGAAACAGAACATCTATCTTAAAACCCTCTCTGGGGGCTGAAGCTATCCATAGCACAGTGGGGAGGACGCTTGCCTTGCATGTGGCCGACCCGGATTCGATTCGCAGCATCCCACATCATCCCCCACCCACCCCCCTCCCCCCAGCAACGCCAGGAGTAATTCCTGAATGCATGAGCCATGAATGAGCTGAGCATCACCAGGTGTGACCCAAAAAAGGGAAAAAAAAAAAAACTCTGAACTCTCCAGGGGTCAAACAATCAAAACCATTTTTAAAAAAATAATAAAGTCAGAAGCCAGAGTACAGCAGGAAAGCGCTTGCCTTGTACGCAGCTGACCTGGGTTCCATTCTCAACACCCCTGATGCACCCCCACCCCCGGGAGTGATTCCTGAGTGGAGAGTCAGGAGTCAGCCCTGAGCATCCTCAAAACAAAAAGGAAAAGGGGCTGGAGCGATAGCACAGCGGGTAGGGCGTTTGCCTTGCATGCGGCCAACCCGGGTTCGATTCCCAGCATCCCATATGGTCCCCTGAGCACCGCCAGGAGTGACCTCCTCCCCCCCACCAAAAAAAAGCAAAAAGGAAAGAATCTGACTTCTTTCTTAATGTCATCACCAAATAGGCAGACGGCGCATTCGCGTACCATAAAATTCTGCTGCAGGGGGGACCAGGAATACATGATGGGCACCGAGGCGACGGCGTTCAGCGTCTTCAGAGGGATGATCTGCGCCGGGAAATCAAACTCACTCGTCACGGAGCACTGCAACGGGAGCACAACGGGCGCGTCAGAACACAGCCACACTTTCAGCCGTGTCACTCTATCAGACCTCGTAACTCCATCATGAACGGATGCTGCCTCGTAAATCATCTCAGAAGGGTTTGCTTCGTACAGGAAAAAGTTCGTGAAAACGGGGTCTCTCCTCTCGACGGCAAAGTTCCGGGATGCACCGATCTTCCAAGGCCTCCGAGCTCCCGTACTTACCAGTTATTGGCAAATCAGACCTGCCTGTCAGCTGATCTCAGATCAACCGTTCAGTGCTTCCGCTATAACGTTCCTGGCTCAACGCTTGCATTTTCTGATCCCTCATGTGTGCGGAGCAATCACGTACCTAGACCGAGCACGCGGCTTCCGTCTTACTGAGAATCAGGACACGCGTTAGGTCACCCCTTCCCCCTCTTAAGATTCTCTTTCAAGAACCTCCACCACCCCTGGAGGGTATCCTCAGAAGAGACACACCCGCCGAGGGTAAGGAAGGTCTGGGTCTCCAGGGCCCCGTCGGAGACTCGCAGCAACTCAACCGACGGTAAAACGTACGATCTCTAAAGTTAAGAACCGAGACCACGAAACGCTTGCCCTGTGCTCTGCGCCGTTCGATCTCGAGTCCTTCCTGAGCACTAAGGTGGGAAGACTCCTGGGGTCCAGGTCACAGGTGAGAGGCCAAGGCCGAGCGGCGTCCGGCTCGCACCCGCATCCCGTCCCAGAGCACATTCCCACCACCCAAGCACCCTGAGGTGCTGTCCTCCGGCAAACCAACAAGGCGTCGGGAGCTCCGGGCCCGGCAGGAGCCCCCCTTTCCACACACCACCACTCCCCAGGCCTCCAGAACCTGCTCTAACATCCTGCACGTGGCATCAGCATCTCCCGTCAGTGAGGACGCAGGTAACAGCCCACGCGAATGGCAGGAGAGCCCCAAGCCGGGGCGGCGCGCACGGTACTGCAGGCTCCCAGGGCCCGGCCGAGTCCGTCCCTGCGGCCAGGAGGGCCACAGGCAGCGGGAGGGAGAATGACCGTGCTGCCCTCGAGCCTCGGACCTGCTTCCCCGACCTCAGGAGCACAGGCTGAGCCCTCCTCGTCCCCTGCTGCCCCCGTGCTGGCCCCCGTGCTGGCCCTCGGGCAGCAGGGAGAGGCCACAATCACGGCACCGAGCAGCTGCTGGCCCTGTGCGGGTCACTTCACTTCCCGCAGGACCAGGGGCCTGGGCAGGGGCTGCCGCGTTCCTGACGGTGCCGGGCGGGTGCTGTGTCCTTCAGCAAGTGACTCTGCACAGCTTTGGAGGTTTGTGTGCCAGCCCTGGTGGTGCTCAGGGCTCGGTCCTGGCGGTGCTCAGGGCTCAGCCCTGGTGAGTGCCTGACCCGCCCACTCCCTCGGCCGTCACCTGCCCCTGCCATCTCGACCCTCCCCCACTCCTTCCCAAGCAGAACGGGATGCAGAGAGCGCCAGGCTGCGCCTGGTAGCCCGGGCGTGACCAGGGCAGGCCCCTCGCACGGCCCACGCCGGCACAGTGGGGTCCCCCACTGTTTCCCTCAGTGGAGGGAGAGAGTCACGAAGTCTGAGGACAAGGCTGCCCGTGTCCCGGCACCCCCGAGGGAGCGGCACCTGACAAAACAAACTACTAGTCGGACCCCACGGCCGTCCTCACGCGCCTCAGCGGAGGGCGACCAAGAGCACTGCGCCAGAAACAGAAGCCCCTGAGCGCCACGTGTTCTGCCACGCGGGAAACAGCACGCGAGCCCGGGAACTCTTGATCCCAACGGGAAAGCGGCGCGGAAGTCCCAGTCTCCCAGCAGGGACTCTTCCTTTCTTTGGAAATGTACCGTCCTTGACAGTTGGGCTCGTCCAGTTGCCTGCCTCTGGGTGTTGGGGGGAGGATTCTGCCCTCAGGATGACAGACACTCCTGGGGCCTGATTTTACCTGGCTGGTCCCGGGTCCCAGACTCCAGGATGCCTATCGCGTTCCACTTGGCGGGGGGGGGGGGGGGGGGGGGTCGGACACTGCCGGACACTGCAGCGGGCACAGGCCTTGCCGCCGAGGGAGGGCCGTCAAGGACGCTACATTCCCCGAGAAAACAGCCTACTGGCAAACAGCCTACTAAGTACCGGGTGCCTGGCGGAGACACTTACATGGACCAGCTGGAACCAAGCGGCTGCGCGGCTGGCCCAGGGGAGCGGCAGGAGCACACCACCACGCCGAGGCGGGCGGCAGGAGGCTGGTCCCAGGGGGAAACTGGGGCATGGAAAACCGGAGGGAAGAGCAGGTGAGTAGGCTGCAGGGAAGGGAGAGAAATTAACACACCCACTAAGCGCCACGCACGCCACTGCACGTCACCACCACGTTCTGCACCGCTGCCCTTGGGAGGCGGGCGCCCCCTCGCACGGTGGGACGCCCCGAGACGGGAGCAGCCCCAGCAGCGCTAGCGGGACGCATGGGCAGGGGGGTCGTGGGTTCGTGCTGGCGTCCTCTCGGGAGACGGGAACGGGGAGAGGCAGAGATGCAGCCGGTTCAGACCTGCGGCTGCGAGGACCGTCCCGACCTCTCAGTGCCCGACCGCGGACGGCCGAGGGTGAGCAAGAGAGGCAGAGCCCCGAGTTCAGAGAAGCCCGAGCTCGGACGTGGGTTCAGAACCAGGCTAGAAGGAGAACCGGAACCGCCCCTGAGAAGCCAAGTCCGTCGGACGGGGCAGAGTGAGGGCGGGAGGGGAGGGAGGGCAGTGGCCGGGGGAGGCGGGAGGGCCGGTGGGGGTCCACAGCCGCGCCACACTCACACCGCAGAGACGGCACTAACGGCTGCTCCGGGGGACCCCAATCCCTGAGCACAGAGGCAGGAGTCAACCCTGAGATGACCACCTCCGCCCCCCCCACCAGCCAGGCTCCGGGTCTCTACCCAGGAACAGACTGACGGGAAGAAACGGCAAGGGAGGAGGAAGCGGCCTGTGGTTCTCCCAGCCGGGAAACGGGACAAAGGGACCAAGAGGACGGGCACTAGAGTCACGAGTGACTCCTCAGCCGGCTCCTGCCTTCCAGCTGAAAAGCAGGCGCGAGGGGCGTCCTTCTGGGGCGGGAGGCGCCCTCACGGCTCCCGCAGGCCACGCTGATGCCCGACGGAACCCCTTCCTTCTGGAAGTCAGAAGCACTGCAGAAAGCACCACCGGACACCGTATGTCCTGGACAGACAGACACCGTCTGTCCGGAAGCCCGTTCAACAGGGAAACGGCAGGTGGGCGGGGCGGGCGGCCGGCACCTCAGCTCGGAAACATCCTCCAGTCCAGAAGGAGACTCGGGTGCACCCGAGACCGGGCCCCCCAAGGGACCCCCTCATGCAAGCACGCGGCCTCCTGCAGCCCTGCCTGGAAGACCCCCGGGAAAGCCGAGAGCCCCCGCCCCAGGGGATGTGAGCACGGGCGACGGGAGTCCCCGGCAGCCAAAGGCCGGCCCCAACAGCTCTGCCAAACAGGCTCTTCCTCGTGCGGCTACCTCTGACCCACTTCAGGCCCCAGCAGGTAAGAAACTTCGGGAAACGGCAGACAGAGGTCAGGTAGGGGGGTAGGAGAGGCGAGGAGGGAGCCTTCAGGTCCTGCGCCCACACCCACCAACATGTTTATCGCAAACCGCATAACCCTTCAGCTTCCAAGTCAAAGAGGATGCGTTTTGGGGTTTTGCTGGTTTGCTTGTTTTTTTGGGGGGCGAGGGTGGAGCCTGGAGCCTGGCAGCGTAAAAGCTGAATCGCTTGAAGCAGAATCTGCCACGAAGAGTCCCTCAAAAGCTAGCGACTTCACCAGCCAGAGCCGGACGCATCAGAACGGGAATTCCTGCACGGAGCAATGAACAGCGGGGAGGGCGCCTGCCTTGCACGCGGCCAACCCCGGTTCAACGCCCCCCAGACCCCATATGGGCCTCTGAGCCCACCAGGAGTGATTCCCGGGGCGGGAGGAAGCCCTGCGTTCCGCTGGGTGTGGCCAAAATGAAAGTTCGGGGTCTGGTCCCCTCCGTTCCTCCTCCCATCTGGTAAAAATTGATTATTCAACCTTAGTAGGGTCCGTTCAGAAAGCAATTCTGACTTATTAAAATGCTGATTTGCTTTCACATAAACTTACAATAAAGACCCTTACATGCAATGAATTTTTCTCTCCATTTGAAAAAAAAAAATTCTGCTATTAAAGAACCATTTGTAGATAAATTATACTCAGATTTATGACTAAAACTGTATTATGAACAATTCAATTTCTACATAAATAATGAACTTTACTCATTCCTTAATGCATCTGAGCAAAATGTACTCAGGGGCCTACATCAGATCATTAGAGCAAGCAAACCGACAACTCTTGGAAGGCTCAATTTCCTTGCTGGAGAGGAGGGAAAAGGCATTAACACACCATGAACTACCACGAGGTAATTTGTGCAGAGTACCCATCTCCACACCAGAAATTGATGCAGTGCATTTTGAGAACTATAACTGGTAGAAAAATTAGAATTCTGGGGATTGAAGAGAAAGTACCGCGAGTTTGGCGTTTGCGTTGCATGCAGGAGACCCGGGTTTGATCCCCGGGTACTGCCAGGGGCAGCGGCCTAAGCACAGAGCCTGGAGTAATCCCTGAGCACCGCTGGGTGTAATCCAGAAAGAACAAATCTACGTGTCTCTGCTTTACGTCCCCAAAATGCTGAAATTTATTCCTCCAAAGGGGGGGGGGGGGAAGAGTTTTTTTTCCCCCCTTCACCTCAAAATTTCCCTACGGTCACTAGACAAAGCTTTCTAAAAAGTATGACCACTTTTAAGGGTGTTTAGAGGATCCTCCCAGGAGGGGAGATGAATGTGGAAAGTAGACTATGGACTGAACATGTTTGCCACTCAAAGCCTCTTTTGCAGACCACAACACCCAAAAGGAGAGAGAGAACACAGGGGATTGCCCTGCCACAGAGGCAGGGTGGGATGGGAGGGATGGGGGTGGGAGGGATATTATCCATGGTGGTGGAAAATGGGCACTGGTGGAGGGATGGGTATTTGATCGTTGTATAATTGAAACCCAAGCACAAAAAAATTGTAAATCTACAACTGTGCCTCATGGTGTTTCACTAATAAAAAAAAAAAAAAAGGACGACCACTTTTGAAAACACAGTGACAGCACAGAAAAGAATCCCTCTCACCCTTGGTACACTGAATCACCATTTTACCTCCGACACTGACTAGGCCCTCCGTCCCGGACAAAGAGGAAGGAATTTGCATGTGACACACATTTATGTAACTCCAGTCAGCAACGGAGTTGACAAATGAGTAAGAATCGTCCCAAGTCATAAAAAACCACCCAAGCCACCATCAAACGCAAAGTCTGAAGCTCACGCCCACAGCGGACAAGGCTGCGTACTGGACACACTCAAGATCTCAGATCGGTAAGGAAATACGGCTTGACCGTTACCACACAAATGGGGAGGGGGGACGGGGAAATCACTGCTCGGTGAACGTTATTTTTTAGAACAAACTTCAGTGTTCAGGAGATTCCACGTTTCAACTGAGAAATCTTCATCTCAGATGCAGGGCAAGCCCCTCCAAACCACCTTCTCCTTTTGCTCTGGAGAAGAACCCGGGGCTCACAGAGCCCCGCCTGGCCTGACCCATGACTTTCCCTGCGTCTCTGCTCAACTCATGTTCTAGGTTCTGTGGTCTGTGTTCTAGGTTCTGTGTTCTGTGTTCCATGCCGTCTTTTACAGTGCTTCAACCAGATCTACCGCTGGCTTCTTTCTATACAGCTGAAATCTCTGTTCCCTTCCTCTCTTTTTTGGAGGGTGGGCCTGGGGGGGTTCATCCCCACATCCCGTGCACATGGATGGGCCTGGTGAGCCCCGAGTTCCAGTCACTTCTACGGCTTTCTTTTTCCTCTCGCTGCCGCTACTTTCGTGTACTAGTTGATTCCAGATGCTAAGAACAGCATTGCCTTCCCTTGAAAATACAAAAGTCTTGGGGCTGGAGCAATAGCACAGCGGGTAGGGCATTTGCCTTGCACACGGCCAACCCGGGTTCGATTCCCAGCATCCCATATGGTCCCCTGAGCACCGCCAGGGGTGATTCCTGAGTGCAGAGCAAGGAGGAACCCCCTGAGCATCACCGGGTGTGATCCAAAAAGCAAAAAAAAAAAAAAAGAAAATACAAAGTCTTTAAGTGACCGAGACTTACCCAACTCAGAAAATGCCACAAAAAGAAACCAATCACTTGAAACCAATTTAAAACTCCTCATAGTGAGCCTGAGAGTTTGAAAAACGTCAGTCATGAGTATGAATGTCACACACACACACACCAAAAAAAAAAAAATTTGTTTTCATCGTGGTGAATCCACACGAGGGAGTGAAAACATAACTGAGTCAGGAAGCTTTGTTCTATTAGTGATCTGATGAGGGCGTTAAGAGGAATTCCAAGTCAGGGTTTTCTTTTTTGTTTTTTTTTTTTTTTCAGTCAGGCATCACGGGGAAAGCCTGTTCTCCACACTGCCCAGGGAATCGCGAGAACCAAGGGTCCCTAGCAGCTGCACAGTAAGAAAACCCCCGCGGGGAGAGGCCCCGCCGGGAGCCACCGCCACTCCACGGCCCGAGACGCGCTGCCAAGACTCCAGCGCGCGAGTGAACCAACCTCCCTGGTCCCGCGCAATGAGCTCACGGAAGTCAGGATGTGCACGGGCTGGATCCTTCGCTGCTTCCACTCCTGGTTCAAGATCTCCGTCCTCTCCACGATTTTCTGGCGGTTCGAGCTAAACATGCTCTTTGGGAAGAGAGAGAGAAGAGAGCGTTCATTGCGGGTCTGGTGCGTCCTTGGCTGCTCGGCCGCTTCCCCGGGCAGTGACGGGCCCAAGGGGTCCGGCTCCAGCGCCCAGAAACCCGAGATCGCTGTGAGCGTGGACAAGGAACAGGAAATTACTCCCGCGCTCAGGAAATTCTGGGTTTAAAAAAAAAAAAAATCACAGCCGCACGACCCGAGGGCTCACTTGCTATTCTGCACTCTGGGGTCCGAGGTTTGGCCCCTGAAACTCCAGGGCTGCCAAGCAACTCCAGGACCAGCTCCCAAGCCCCCGGGCACAACACATCATGACCCCCGAAAAAGGGAAACAAAAATCACAAGTCCTTTATAAACACAAAACCAAAACCCAGGGGCCGGAGGAAGGCGCATTTTGCACGCGGCCAACCTGGGTTCGACCCCCGGCATCCGGCAGGGTGCCCTGAGCACCGCCAGGAGTGATTCCTGAGCGCAGAGCCTGGAGCCGGGTGTGGTCCCCAATACCCCCAAAAGAGAATAACCCAAGAAGCGTCCTCCTCTGGCGTGCGCGTAGTGGGGAGTGCTTTATTAAGGTCACCATCTCCCGCTGCGGAGTCGCCCGCACCGAGGCCGGGAGCACTGGACGCAGGATGTGGACTGCGCGCGCACGCGTGGGCTGGGGGGGCTGGGAGACCCTGATGGGCTCGGGCAGTGCACGGAGGACAAAGTGTACCTTGACTTCATCAGCCCGCCTGAACCTCTTGAGCTGCCGCAGTCGCATATACTCGGATTTTACACGCTTCCGCCAACAAACTGGTCCCTTCTCAGATTTCTTGCCAGTCTGGCCCATGATTATTCTAAAAGCAATGGTTTCATATTAAAAATCACTCTCTCACCAGCCTCAATGTGAAGTTTGCACTTTATTCCCCCCCCCCGTACAACAAAAGAAAGAACACGGGTTACTCTGCGGGCATCCGCAGGAGGCATCTGGGGGGGCAGATGGTACGGGAGGTGTCTGCTCGCGCAAGCCCGCCAGGGCTGGACCCCGGCACCCCCGACAGAGTCAGCACCACCAGGAGTGACCCCTGAGCGTGGAGACAGGAGCAAGCCCCGAGGCATAAAAACAAGAACGCTTCACACCATTCACAAGGTCTTATTTAATGCAACATTTAGCGTCATTTGTATTCGGAGGTGCTGCCCTCCTGCAGAGCCAACGCCGTAGAGATGCGTGAGCTCAGCTCGCTACAGGCGTTAGGGGGATTCTAGCAGGCGGTTCCGTCTGTGAGACCCACACTGTGAAGGGGCAAAAATGCTGAAACATCCCAGACACGGAACAAATGACATAATCGATAATAAATCGAAAAAAGTACCATTTACCAATAACTCACTGAGGGGGGAGGGGTAGTATCTTTACAGAGAGTAAACGCACAGCGGGGAGGGTGTTTGCCTTGCACGCAGCCGACCCGGGTTCGATTCCCAGCATCCCATAGGGTCCCCTGAGCACCGCCAGGAGGAATTCCTGAGTGCAGAGCCAAGAGTGCATCACCAGGAGTGACCAAAAAAGCAAATAATAATAATAATAATAATAATAATAAGCTGAGAGATAAGATGGGGTAGGGAACCACCTGGCCTCCTTGGCGCAGCCGCAGGACCAACCTGTGGAGCTGGTTTCAAGAGCAGCGGCCCGGTCTGTTCGCCAGCAACATCTGTGTGGCTGGGCTGGGTTGGGCCCATTCCCAGGAGGGTCCTTGGGGGCGAGCGGTCTTGCTGAGCAAGAGTGTAAAGCCCGGAGCCTCTGGAACTGCACTGCACGGTCCCAAGAACTGTCAGATGTTGCCCCAACCCGGCACAGATTCCTCCCAAGACACAGAAGCGCCCCATCCCAGCAGGGATGACGGAGCCCACCTAATTCCCGGGAACCAGAGGTCAGTGGGGAGAAAAGAGGGGTGGGGAGATGAAGCTCCTTTGGGGTGTCTGGGCCCCTGGCTGCAGGCCTGCGCCCACACGGTCCCTTCCCACCACGCCTGCGGCTCTGACGGTGCAGGTCTGTGTCCCCTACCCGAAGCCATGTCCGGCCAGAAGAAAGAAACTATCGAAATGCCCGTGCATTAGCAGAAAGAAACTATCAAAAGAACTCGCCACTCTATCCGGATGCATGTGAACACATCCAAGTGTTTAAATTTCTCACTCAAAAAAAGATCACTTTCAGCCGGAAGGACACCGGCGCGGCTTTTACAAGGCTATGAAAACGGTTTCTCTTAAACCAAAACCGACGCTAGTTCTTGTCGTTCCAACAAGATGCTGTTTCTGGTGAAAACCCAAAACACTGATTATGCTTTAATTCAAAACTCAAGCCAGATCAGGTCAGGGGAACTGCAAAACCTTAACAGAACGCAGTAAAAACGGAGAGAATGACAGCGGTGCCAGGGGTTCGAGGAAGCTGTCCCTGAAGCAGAACGACATTCCCGGGAACCAGAGATTAGCGGGGAGAAAAGGTGGGGGGGGGGGTGGAAGCTCCTTTGGGGTGTTCGGGCCCCGGGAGCAGAGCCCCGTCTCAGAACCCACAGACCCCTGACGCTGCTCAGGGATTTCCCAATCCTGCCATTCACGCCCAGGCTACAGGAGACGGAGTTTCCGCCGGCAGCTCAGGGTGCAGATACAGCACCCACCGCCCACTCACTAACGGGGGCCACCTGGCCAGGCGCCGTCTCAAACTCTCCGCCACTGATGTACCGAAAGCGACAGCGGCACACCACATCTAACGGGGTATAAAGTGGAAGGGCAACTGACCTCATCCCAATCAGAAAAACAAAGAAAATTAGCACACAAAGGCTCAACCTGTAGTAGCAAGGTGTTAGTAACCCTCGCTGGCTCCAGGGTGAGACACAACACTCTCACACTTTTAAGTTTCCTCTAAGGAAACTTTTTTGGATTTTTGGTGGAATATTCACAACCGGTATCACCTGTCCTCCCGTTGTTCACTGAGTTGCTCGAGCAGGCGCCAGTAATTTCTCCATTCGCCCCCCCCCAGCCCTGAGATTTTTAGCAGCCTCTCCTTACTCGTCCTTCCCAACGCTGCCGCATTGGACGCTCTTTCAGTGTCAGGGGAATGAGGCCCGTTTTTGTTACTGTTTTTGGCATATCAAATACGCCACGGGGAGCTTGCCAGGCTCTGTCAAGCGGGTGGGAATACCTTCGGTGGCTTGCCGGGCTCTCGAGAGGGACGAAGGCTTTTGGGGCGATCTCGAATCACTTTTACAGGTGTTCCCGGAATACAGAATAAACTATGTAGGACCTGCTTTGGGGAAGGCTTGGGTGGGGGTGGGAAAATTCAAAGTAGCGGTGGGAAGGTGTAATGGTGCCAGGATTGGTGTTGGGGCTATTAAATGTAATAAATCGTTGTGAACAACTTTTTTTTTTTTTTTTGCGTCACACCTGGCGATGCACAGGGGTTACTTCTGGTTCATGCACTCAGAGATTACTCCTGGCGGTGCTCAGGGGACCATATGGGATGCTGGGAATCGAACCCGGGTCAGCTGCGTGCAAGGCAAACGCCCTCCCCGCTGTGCTATCGCTCCAGCCCCCATTGTGAACAACTTTTAATAGCACTGTAACACTGTCCTCCCGTTGTTCATCAATTTGCTGGAACGGGCATCAGTAACATCTCCATTGTAGGACTTGTTGTTACCATGTTTGGCATATCGAATATGCCACGGGGAGCTTGCCGGGCTCTGCCATGCGGGCAGGATACTCTCAGTAGCTTGCCAGGCTCTCTGAGAGGGGCGGAGGAATCGAACCCGGGTCGGCCGCATGCAAGGCAAACGCCCTACCTGCTGCACTAAACATTTTTTTTTAAAAAAAGACAGAGGGGCACCTTTCCAAGATCTGGACGGAGATCACACTCAGAGACCTACAGACCCGGGGGGTAGCATATCCCTCTGGAAAAGGGTCCCGGGCAGGGCTGGGTGCTTTCCAATGTTCCAGGACCGAGGGTGCATTTATACATACATACATACATACATACATGCACACGGGGGCGCACACGCGCACCTTTCAGGACACTGAAGACTCTCATTTCCCAAATCAAACCGAACTCCAGGATGCCAAACCCCAGCTCACCCGGAGCCCTGGCTGTGCCCCACGACCCACCTTCTCTGGGAACTTCCCTCCACCCCGCCAGCGACAGCCAGGGTCAGACACGATCAGGGTCTGACCCTCGTCACAGTGGAGACTCTCAACACGCTCCCTGCAACGCGAGGGCGAGAATGTCCTTCTCCCGGGTGCAGACTTAAGCCTGGGCACGCGACATGCAGAGAGGCTGGGAGGCCACCTGTGGCCACGACGAACAGGCAAGCACTGTGCGGGAGGAGGAGGAGGAGGAGGAGGAGGAGGAAGAGCGAAGAGAATAGGGCGAGCGGGGTCCGGACAGCGAGCTCGGGAACCCGATTGCAGAACCACTCAGTGATGACCCGGGACCCCAAGTAAGACTCCTGCCACACACAAAGTCCACCCAGGGCTGGTCCCCGGCCCCAGAGACGCCCTGCACACCACTGCCTACGCTGACTCCCTCTGCCTCTCTGCGCTCCAACGGCAGAAGCACCATCCCAACACAGCTCTGCTCCCCAGAGAGGGCCCCGCACAGGACTCCACCCCCGGTGCTCGGGGGACCATGCAGGATGCGGGGGGGGGGGGGAAACTGGGTTGCTCTAGCCCAAGCCCAGCCACCCGGGGTTCTGGTGCCAAGGCAAACGCCCTCCCCGCTGTGTGGCTGCTCGGACCCAGGGAGGAGCCGCTCCTTTGCTCTTTGGGGCGTTCCGCAGAGGGTCTGGATGCGCCTCCCTTCGGGAACAAGGACAGCACCAGACTCTTGTGCTAAGGAGAGAGAGTCCTTCCGTGCTCCTTCTGGAGAATTCGCTACTGGGGCTGGGCCAGGGAGACAGAAAAGCCTGCAGCAGAAATAAGAAAGGGGGAAAAAATCAGAAGGCAGAAAGACAGACGCTGGGGCTGGAGCAACAGCACAGCGGGTAGAGCGTTTGCCTTGCACGCGGCCTACCTGGGTTCGATTCCCAGCATCCCATAGGGTCCCCCAAGTACCGCCAGGAGTGATTCCTGAGTGCACAGCCAGGAATAACAATCCCTGAGCATCGGCTGGGTGTGACCCCAAAAAAAAAAAAAAAAAGGCAGACGCCCGGAGAGATACAGCAGGGGCAAGGGAGGGCATTTGCCTTGCACACAGTTGGCCCAGGTTCAATTCCCAGCTCCCCATCTGGTCCCCAGCAGATTCCTGAGTCCCTGGCCCCTGGTCCCAAGGAGTCATTCCTGAGTGAAGAGCCAGGAATAACCCCTGAGCACCTCTGGGTATGGCCCAAACGGTCCCCCCTCCAAAAAAAGTATATATATATAGGGACAAGAGACCAATCTTCCTACCAAGGAAATCCAAACAGAATGAAAGAGCTCGGCGCTTTCCCTAGAGGGGGTCTGCACACGGCAGCCCCCCCAACGCAGAGTCAGGGAAGGACAGTAACATCACAGAGGAAGATGCGGCCTCACCAGGTGATCAGGTGAGACATCAGTAATGGGCCACATGGCATGCACGCACCCCACGCCGGGTGACAGAGGGAAGCCCCCATTCCTGTGAGAGTCACCCTGGAACCTCTCGACCTCATCACCCAAACCTCAATGAGTCACAAGAAAGCGCCAGGGCAGCCCAAACTGAAGGACGTGCCCATGAAATAACCAACGCTCCTCTAAGTCGGTCAGAGAACAGAGACTCAGACTCAGATGCAGAGACTGCGACACGGCCCTGGGGACAAAGCCACACACCAGGGGGTGCTCAGGGGCTACTCCAGGAGGTACA